TGTTGTTCATGTCTGGGTAGGTCGTCTAGGGGTCTAGCCAGCAGGAATGTCCATGGGTTTGCGTCTATCGGTCTATGTAAGATTTGCGCTATTAGCTTCTGGATGTTTTCCCAGAAAAGTTTAATTATGGGGCAGTACCACCACATATGTGCGTACGTCCCTTTTTCTCCGCAGTTACGCCAGCAGAGGTCCGTGGGTATTTTTTTCATGTGGGATAGTTGGACCGGTGTGACGTACCAGCGTAGCATCGTTTTATATGCCTGTTCCTGCATCGTGACGCATATGGAGGTTCTGGAATTGGCTTCCCATATTTCCTGCCAGTCAATTCCCTCTAGTGTTTCCCCTAAGTCAGCTTCCCATTTGTCTATGTATTGCAGGTCCCCCCAGTCCCGAGTGGTGGAACAGAGGTGGGAGTAGAGCTGGGTGATCATGCCCCTATGGTATTGTTCCGCTAGGCAGATGCGCTCAAAGAAGGTCGGAGTGGTTTTGGCGGCGGTTTTTACCGTCGTTTGGGCCGCGTAGTGTTTTAGTTGCAAATACCGAAAAAAGTCGGCTGGTTTCAGAGTTGCTCTAGATTGTAAGTCTGGAAAGGAGACTATTGTGTCGCCCATGTATAGGTGGCACGCTCTCTGGAGACCTGCGTGCTCCAGCCCTTTGAAGTCCCATGGTCTCATACCTGGCGTGAAAGCCCTGTTTCGGTATAGGGGGGTGAGGGGGGAGGTCTTAGTGGTTAGGTCGTATTTGAGGGCATAAGTATCCCATAATTGGATTGAGTTGGTGATGGCTGGGCACGCCGTTCTCGGTAGTGCTCTATGCTCTTTTGGTGTCCAGATGTAGAATTGTGGGAGGTCTGATCCCATTAATGCTGATTCTAGATCTACCCACCTTCTAGTTTCTGGGGGGGTGTGCCATAGGGCTATTTGTGCCATCTGCGCGGCTATGTAGTAGAAATGTAGGTGGGGTAGGCCCAGGCCTCCTCTCGTTCTGGGGCGGTAAAGTATGTTGCGGGCTACTCTGTGCCTTTTATCCTGCCAAATAAATCTATCTATCGCCCGTTGCAGGGGGATGAGATTGTGTTTTGTGATAGGGATGGGTATGGCCTGAAAGAGGAACAGAATTCGGGGTAGAATGTTCATCTTGATGGAGTGTATTCTCCCTATCCAGGATATGGGTTTATCCGCCCAGGTCTCCAGGTCCGAAATGAGATTGTCTATCATGGGTGTGTAGTTCAGCCTGTGGAGCTCGTTGGTGTCTGCCGGTAACTTGATACCCAGGTATGTGAGGGAGGTTGGAGTGACTCGTATGTGATAATCTGAGGTTATTTTATTCGTGTCCGTCTGTGTGAGGTGTATTGGGAGTGCGCTGGATTTACCTACGTTAACTTTGTATCCTGAGATCTCACCGTATTTGGTCAGGAGTGGGAGCAATGCCTGTAGTGTGGGGATGGGTTCCGTTAAAGTCAGCAAGACGTCATCAGCATATCCTGAGACTAGAAATTCTTGGTCAGCTATTGTGACCCCTTTGATTTGTGGGTGTTCCCTTATGGCTTGGAGGAGTGGTTCCAGTGTCAGCACGAAGAGTAAGGGGGATAGGGGGCATCCCTGACGGGTACCGTTGGATATATTAAATGGTGGGCTATTTGTCCCAGTTATCTTTATTTGTGCCGAAACGGAAGTGTATAGTGCGCGAATCGCTGTTATGTATGGGGGGGGTATGTTTAGATGTTCTAGGAGGGTGAACATGTAGGGCCATTTCACGCGGTCAAATGCTTTCTCAGCATCCAGGGAAAGTGCTAGGGATGGCGTTTTTTTGTTGGCTAGCAGCCATATTATGTCTATGTTACGTCTCGTATTTTCGAATAGTTGTCGTCCGGGTATGAATCCTACTTGGTCGGCGTGAACTAGATTTGTCAGGTATGGGTTTAGTCTACCTGCTAAGATTTTGGCGAAGATTTTGCTGTCGTGGTTTATGAGTGAGATGGGTCGATATGCTTCTGGTTGGGTGTGGTCTTTACCTGGCTTTGGTAGCAGAATAATGTTTGCCCGTGTCATGTCTCTGTCTGGTGGGGTTCCCGTCATAAGTTCTTGGAATAAGGATTCTAAGTGTGGGATGAGTGTTTCCCTAAAGGTTTTGTAATAGCTGCCTTCGAAACCGTCTGGGCCGGGGGCTTTATTGCTTTTAAGAGAGGAGATAGCTATGTTTATTTCATCTTTAGAGATTGGTGCTGCTAATTCCGTTGCGGCTGCAGTGTGTAGTTTTGGTAAGTTTAGTTGGTTGAGGAAGTCGGTTGTTTTCTGTTTCGCTCCGCTGTGCGGAGGGTTTCTAACTGTTGGGTAAGTTTCCGCGTTTTTTGTTTCTTTTTGTAGGTTGCTATTTTAATAAGGGAGCCACGAATCACTGCTTTATGGGCCGCCCATACTTTGGTCATGGGGAGTTCTGGTGTTAGGTTTTCTGTGAAGTATGTGGTTAGCTGTTTCTGTATGTCCTCTACTACTTGTGGGTCTTTAAGGAGGGATGTGTTTAGCCTCCATGTCCATGGGGCAGGGCACTGGATGCCTTGGAGATGGATCGTGACGTCCGCATGGTCTGACCATGCGATGGTGCCTATCTCCGTTTTTTGTGTTTTTGTGTAGCCTGCGTGATTAGTTAAGAACATGTCTATGCGTGAGTATGTGTCATGGGGTGGCGAGTAGTACGTGTAGTCCTGAACAGAGGGGTGTTGAGCCCTCCATGCGTCTATGAGGCCTGTCTTGCGGATAAAGTGGTGTAATAGCTTGTCTTGTGCGCCCATGCCATGAGACCTAACTAGTCCTGGGCGAGTGCTTCTATCTATTGCTGGAGATGGGGTTGCGTTCAGGTCTCCCCCTAGGAGGATTATCCCGGAGGGGAGCGCAAGGACTACGTCTGACAACTGGTTCCAGAATTGGGGTGTGGGTGTGTTGGGGGCGTAGATGTTGATGAAGTGGATTGGTTGGGAATGAATCCTGCCTGTGACTAGCACATATCTACCGTCTGGGTCTAACGTCGCTTGGGCTATGTGAATTGGGCATCGTTTATGTGTAAGTATCGCCACTCCGTTCTGTTTGCGGAAGGACCGAGCCTCTGCGGCTAGGCGGTATGTGTTGTCTCGGAGGGAGACCTGGGTGGATCGAGACAGGTGAGTCTCCTGTATGAAGGCTATGTCAGGGTTTAACCTTTTTAGCTCCTTGAACAGTGTTCTCCTCTTGCGAGGAGCATTGAGGCCTTTTACATTAAGCGAGGATACCTTAAGAGCCATAATCTAGAGGTTTCGGTGAGCGTTTTTTGTCCTTCTGGACGGTCGGGTGGCTGTGGTGGTTCGTTGCGGCTTGCATGGTGTGTTTGCGCAGCGGGGTATGGGGTCGGCTCCCACCTCTGTTCCTTTGTGTCACTGGGTGGGTGTGTGGTTGGGGATGTGCACGTTGCGCCTCTGTCATCGTCCAAGACCTATGAGGGCCTAGGGTAGGTGGGGAATGTAGGGGAGGTAGGTTGGTGGGGGAGGATGAGGGTCTAAGGAGTTTTGGAAAAGGTGTGATACGGCGTTGCCGTATTGGTCTGGTCTTATTGCGTGCCAGACCGTTGGGGGGTGCATGTACCCTGGTCTTCCCTGTGACTGTGTCAGTCTGGGAGTGTTGGGTCATGAACCTGTTTTCCGATGTGATCCCCTGTTACCATGTGTCATTTGTCTGTTGCATCTTTAATGTGCAGCGTACAAGTTGATGGTCTATTGGGCGATTCGTCTTCCCTGCCCCTGGTTCTTGAGGTTTGTGTTGCTTTAGTGCTTTAGTGGGGCCGGGAGCTCTCGGGAGTAGCCGCTTAGCGGTGTTTTCCACGAAATGGGGAGGGGGGAAATAATGGGCAGTTGTTACCCGTTTAGGTAGCTTTTCCTGGTCTACGATGGTTCTCCTGTTTGTAGGCACCATTGTGCCGGGGCAAGTTTTTTATTACTATATCATGTCTTTTTTGTTTTTGTCGTTTTTTTTTTTTTATATAATCCCTTTTGCTGCTTTTCAGGTGTGACCTCTGTCATTAGGGTGTGGGGAGGGAAGGGGCCGGCTGCTAGAGACGGTCACCAGTCTATCAAGTGGGTGACCGTGCGCGGGGGGAGGTGGGAAGCGGGGAGATAGGTGAGGGAGGGGAGCGGCCCGGCGCCGTGCAGGACAACATATAGCAATACATATCAATGCAAGTCCGAGGCACTTCAACCCATTTACATCCACCATCTTTGCTATTATATCACCCACTCTAGATGGTCCCTGTGCCCCCCAGTGCCATAGCCCCCACTCGCCCAACCCGACACCCCCCCATCCCCCCCACAGCCCGCAAGCCCCCGCCGTCTATGTGTGTGCTTTCTCTACGTGTGGTGTGGTCCCTATCGTGAAGCTTGGTCTCTGTGTAGTGTGGTTGTGTAGCGAATTCGTGTCTAGAGCAGTTGTACTTGCGTGGTGTGTGTGCCCTGGGTGACTTATGTGACTGTACATGTGTGTCCCATAAATGCTTTGCTTTCCCCTTTAGTGTCTAAGTTGCGGTATCTTTGAACTGGTACTTGCTGTGATATCAAGAAGCCAGCAATAGTCTCTGGGCAAGTTCATAATGTGGGTTATCTTCGATGCTGTGGGCGGGGAGGATGCCGTGGATCTCTTCAGGCCTTTTTCATGTAAACACTGCCTTTTCAGAGTTTTTTTTCCTAAATGGTGGGTTAAACACTATAGGGTCAGGAATACATGTTTGTGTTCCTGACCCTATAGTGTTCCTTTAACAATCTACACTAAAATAATGGTTTGTCCAAAAGGTGTGAAGTCATACCTGGATTGTCGAGACCAAATCTTAAAACTCTCCCATTATTTTATACAGAAATAAATAAAGCATATATACCACTGTCAAATAATGTACACCTTGGAAAGACTATAAAATTATTCAGAACTTGGAAGCGCACCTTTTAAGACCACTTGCATTTGTTTTTTCACGTGGAAGATTTAGCCCTATACACATTGGTTTAACATTTTACTTTGCCACTTCAAGTTCTAACCGTGATGCAGCCAGCAGGACATTCTAATGGTTTCCACTGTGATTCCACTTTTAGAACTGTGTCCTGGAATTGTTCTTAACATATGAATCCCATTGGGAGTTTGAATTGGTGCAAATGTATACTAGGTTAGCCAATAGGTTGCTATGCTTGTGGTGCTTTTGGTGTTTAGTTGTTGATGTTGATATTGTGCAATTCCATTCCAGTTATTTTTATAACTCCAGATGTGCAACAAGATGTCTTTCTTTTGGTCGCTTTAGTTTAGAGAGATGCATCCATAAGCTTTTTAATTGTTTGGTGACTAAATTGAGCCCTAAGAAGGAACATTCCCTTCCGAAAACCATATTTTTGCGCCACAGAGCTTCTCAAATGGGCAAGTAAAAGAAAAAAAAGATTGGAAAAAAAATTAACCAAACTGACAATATAGAGTTGAAGATTTTTTTCCAAATACAATTTGGGCCTGAATTTTGCACGTTTGGTGGTCGATTCTTCATAAGTCTTTTTTTTAAATAAAACAAACAAAAAATGGTTACTTATTTTTTTGACATATAATTTTAAAATCTACCCGCAATGTGTTTTCCTGAACTTTGGCCTAAATTTTGCACATCAGTTGGTAGGTCACCAAAACGGACTGTTTAGCAAATAAATTCCCTAGCCTTCACGTCATATTATGCATTCAAAATAAATGCAACAGCTTGTGGGAAATAAATAATTAAATTGCCCAGTAGTGTTCCATATGCCACAGATTATAATCCTGATTTGCTGTTTTAATGTAATCTTCTCAAAACTAGTTATGCTTAATTTGAATTAAAAAAAAGGTTAAAGCAACGACCTTCGGGGCTGGATCAAGTTCATACCGTTCTGATTAAAAATTTGGGCATAAATGACTTATTTACAAGTTTATTTGAAGTTTATTTTATTTACAAGTGCACACCCCACAGGAATTTTTAAATTCTGTTTTAAAAATCCCAGTAAACAAAAAAAGGCAGACCTAGCTAAAAATCACATATGGTTTTCTGATTGGCTGCTCAAGTTCTCAGCCAATCAGAACATTCTCAGAGGTTAAAGTAACAAGCGCCTCGGAATGCTAGGTATTATTATTCAAAAAAATTAAACTTAGCTGGAATTTTATTTAAATTAAAAACTATAATATTATTAAAATATAGAAAATTTAGAAACAAAATATAACTTTTTTATTGTAGTGATAAACATTCTTGTGCCAAGATGCATCCGATTTCCATGATCTTTAACCAGATAATGATCTAATCCACACTAAATCAAATATTTGATACCTTAGTGGGAGACAAGGAGGGCAATTTGGCCCGCCAGATAACAATTCAACCCAGACCATCTCATATGTTTGGGAGAGAAGGACAACAATTTGGCACTTCATAAGGATGTTCCATGGGCACATCTTGGGCAATTACTATGCACATCTGTGACATTTTATTATTTATAAAATTAGCAAAATAATACATGAAACAGTGCACAAATGCAACCAAAAAGTACATGTATATACATAACACGGTTAACCTTTGGGGAGTCACACAGAAAAGTAGCATGATATAAGTCAGAACTCATCTTACGCATCTCGTACATTGCTGATTAGTATTTTTGAGAAGGTGCCTAATGAAATGTGAAACGTGTAGGATCAGCTATACCTAAGATCGTGAAGCTTTTCTATCTCAATCTTCCCAAAGGATCTGGATCTGGTGGTACAATCACAATCTGAGACTCCTGTCCCACCACCCCATGAGAAAGTATAAATTATTTCTTTGTACTAAAGGGCAGGATATTATTATCATATTTAATATTTATGTTTCTAATTTTATAACAAGTAGAATATGCTTTTCTTTCCTGCTCCTCTGGATTCTCTCCAAAAATCAAATCTCTCCAAAAATAGTTAAGGAGATTTCCTTGCTGGATGGAGACACTGAGTTCAAGCATAGAGCTAAATGTGGTGTAGAGCTCTACATTTCATTTTAATTTATTTTTCAGAGTTCACAAGCACACATTTGTTAAATGTAGGGGATTTGTAAACATCATATTTTCACAGGCAGTCCATACAATGTTGTTTTGAACTGGTGAACATTGACATGACAACTATGACAACATCGGCACCTGCATGAAGCAACAATTTCATGTGCCTCTGCATAAATAATGTACTTTTGAAAAAAAAAAAACTACAATACATAGGCATCGTGGTAACCTTTTGACATTGATCACTAAAATAACTTCTGCTTGCCATCATCGGATAGTCATCCTTGCAGTATTTTATGTTGTCTTGACCATTTCAAAATCTGGTGGCAGTCAAGGAAAGTATTAAAGGGGCAGATGGGTGAGCTGTGAAATATTTTCTTTTGATTTTAAACTCACCTTGGTAGCTCAGACACTAGTCATACAATTAGAATCTTTTTCACTGTAAGGGTAAGTAATTAATTACATATTTGGTTTCATTGTGATCATCAAACACGGACCATAATTAAATACATAAAGGGAATCAACACAGTAAAGGAGGAGACTATACTTAAAAGAAGAAAAACTACCGCAACAAGAGGACATAGTCTTAAATTAGAGGGACAAAGGTTTAAAAATAATATCAGGAAGTATTATTTTACTGAGAGGGTAGTGGATGCATGGAATAGCCTTCCAGCTGAAGTGGTAGAGGTTAACACAGTAAAGGGGTTTAAGCACGCGTGGGATAGGCATAAGGCTATCATAACTATAATATAAGGTCAGGCACTAATGAGAGTATTTAGAAAACTGGGCAGACTAGATGGGCCGAATGGTTCTTATCTGCCGTCACATTCTATGTTACTATGAAATTATTCTTAGTTTGAAGGGGCTTTGCATGCAGATCTGGATTTTCTAGACTCACATTTATGGATTATGCTTACCGGTATTTGCTTTTTGGTTTACCACTCTTATTAGGGATACCACTCGTATATGGCTTTCTTATCTCCACTTTAGATGTGGCACACTAGAAATAAACCAAGTGCTACAAAAAGCAAATAAGCATAATCCATAGAACATTGATCACAATTAAGAGTCTCAGATATGACCATTGGAGTTACAATATTCCAAATCCATTTGAGGCTTTTAGCCCAAAGCTAAACACGATGATCCCAATCTTTCAAGGCAGCACCCAAGGCCCAATACCACCTTTCCCGTACACCACCACCCCTAATCCTATCTGTTTTCCACTATTTTAACCCATTGTATTTTTCTCTAGCCCTTATCTTCCATTACAAACATTGTGGCCCTCTTTTCCCTGTATTTCCTGATTTCTTGTGTGTACGTTTCCATCTCCCGTAGCCAGTCATGATCTTCACCCGATCTCCCTAATCTCCGTTCTGTCTCTCTCAATACTTGTCTCTCTAATCCCCCTTATTTTCTGCCACCCAAAGGAATCTCCTTAAGTCATCCCCTAACAACACCTCTGATTATGAGACGAATTCCTTGGATTATTATGGCATTGATGTGAACATGTTCTGTGTCACTGTTGTGATGGATAATGCCGTGCATGCATGAAACTTCATTATTGTGGATGATACAGAGCATTGTATTGATTGTGTAATATAAATGACTGCATTGTGTATTGAACATTCATGTTGAAACATTGAAAGTAATCAAAAGATATTCGAATTTCAATGCAGCATCTTAAGTCTTCAATGGAACCAGAGTGGAGATTTTTACTTAAGAAGATATGATTTGTTTGCATGAAGTTGTACTTCCCAAAGCTTAGTGAATACAAATGTTACAGACAAATTTGCATTAATGTGACAATCCAGTAGTTATCAATATGAGTTCTTCTAATATGCTATGAATCCAAAAAAGGTTCATTCAGTGCTTCTGAAAGGTTTGTTGTGTGCTTAAAAACAAATTGAGTTGGCATTTATTCTTTAGATAAGTTTCACTTGTCTTACATTTACTGAGTTACCATAGAGAGGTTATCATCTGGCAAGTGTTCGATGAAAGCCAAATAAACTCCACCAAGTTAAACTGCAAATACCCAATGACAAATCCTCCTAAAACATCACTGATGTGATGCCGGCCAATCATTATACGGGATAATCCGGCCATGAAGGCCCATATAACTAACAAAATGCGTATGGGAATGGCAAGCACCAAGTGGTTGAGGAAGAACTTCGATACCATTGTGGCTCGACTTGCATGTCCAGCAGGGAAAGCATAGACATCGAGGAGCAGATAGTCCAGAACCCCAGGGGTCATATCGTATGGACCACGACGCTTCACCAGCTTCTGCAGTCCAGCTACTGTCAGGATGTCCAGGAACAAAGCTTTCAAGGAAAGATGTAGAAAATAAAGTTTTAAAGACATGCATGTATTCATGACAAGATTGTCATGTTTATTCTACTAAATATACTCTACACACAAAGTTTTGTGAAGTACAGTGTTTTCTGTTTTACGGATTGGAAATAAAAATATATTTTTTTGGGGGGGAAATAACTACCTATGGTTACCTGGTAACAACGCCCACCCAATAAGGAAACTCTATGGTAGTCTCTTTAATCATGTAAGAACTCTATGGTAGTCTTGTCTTCCTGTAGGTCAATACTTTTGAAATTGGAATAAAATGTGTTTTTTCAAACATGATCACAGCTTTATCATTATTATTTATAAATGTATGAGAGACACCCAATGCACAACCATATAGAAGAGCAGAGTGTGTTTTTCTTTAATTAAAGCAATTTCACTGAAGCCTGCCAGACATCAGTGTTAGGATCGGAGCCTGGGAATGTATAACAAACGCCAGTATAGCACCTTGAAGATGAGAAATGGAAATCGGAATTTAATGTATAATGGATTTGTGATTTTATTCTTAATGAGAATATTTGATCTGCAGTGATATTTGAAAGACAATGGTTTATAGAATATATTTATAGTAAATTGATATGGGTAAGTGAGTCTGTTGTGAATATCATATCCCATGAAGGTTGTTTTTTTTTACTGCTGGGTACACACACTGTTCTAACCCTTGTGCTGGCACTTCTACTGAGCTTATCTGTTGTGATTCAGCTAAGGGAACATTTCTGGGTGTCAGCAAATTAGTCGTTCAACCCCCAAAAATAGCTCCGAATGGTGCCGTCAGTCAGGGATCACCTAATCCATCCCCTGATCTGTTGTGACCCAAATAACCAGGGACACAGAACACGCCGGGGAAACACCTGAGTCCTGGGTGAGTATACTTTATGTTGTGATTACAGGTTCAGATTTTAAAAAATGGGAATTTAAAGTGTCATTAATCCCTGAATATAATTTGCTTTGGTGTAAAATGATATACTGAGGCATGTTTAAATCCGCTTTAATTTGCCTGTAAAGTGTTTTACTGATGCAAACATATAAGCAAATTAATGAAAGGTAGCAGGAAGTAACGCATACAAAGTAAAAAGGGCAGACCTAGCTAAAAATCACATATGGTTTTCTGATTGGCTGCTCAAGTTCTCAGCCAATCAGAACATTCTCAGAGGTTAAAGTAACAAGCGCCTCGGAATTCTGTGTAAAATATATGTTTCCTATATGTGAAAAGTAAAAAAAAATAGTCACGTTTCAAATTTTTTATCTGAATGTTTTATTTTATATAATCTGAGTTTAAATTATAGCATACTGTTATTTTAATGGTTACGTAAATAAGGGGTAGGCAACCTTAGGTACTCCAGCTGTTGTGGACTACATCTCCCCTGATGCTTTGCCACCATTATGATAGTAAATGCATTATGGGCGATATAGTACACAACATCTGTAGTGTCGAAGGTTGCCTACCTTTGACCTAGTGGGAGAGAGACTTGACTTGCCCATAGAGTATTCCTGAAATGGATAGAGGCCACTCAGTTTACCAGTGTCAAACAAAGAGAGAGAGAGAGGGGGGGGCTCCCCGATATGATGTTTAAGGGACCACAGTAACTTGTTGTAGTTGTTATGTTGCCTAGAGTTTCCCAAAGACATTCAAAAACCTATAACTTATCAACAAGGCTGAACTTGATGGTCTCTTTTCAGCTATGTAACTATATAACAAGGTAGGGGGTCCTATTGACCATTGATGGCTTGCCTCTACCAACTCAACTGTTGTAGACTGTTTCCTGTGTTTTTCAGCCAGTCACATATCAGACATATGGAGAATGGGGTTACATTAATAACTATGGGAGACTGGATAGAAATATTGTCGCATCGGAAGTGACATCACTGCATGATGTCACTTCCTGTGCCACTGTTAGCTTTGAAACCAAAACACCAAAGTTATAATAATATAATCCACAAAAAAGCTATAGGGCATGTGATACTACCAAGTAAGCAGTTAGGCTGTTTTTTAATTTAATTAATGAGCTATATGGCCCCCAGTGTCGTATCAGGTACTCTGAATCTTTCAATTTAAGGATGCCTAAACATGGCAGCCTTCTGGGGTCTTCAAACACCTTTAATTCTTGTAAAAAAATGGATATTATAAACATGCTGCTTACCTATAAATAGATGTTAATAATTATTTAATGGAACATTAAAAAACAGCTAATGTTGGTGTATTGCAACCAAACTCTGAAACAATGAATTCTTTTAATGGCAACTGGAGATTGTGTTTTACCTAAGCTGCTTTGGTATGAACTTTGCTAGTCAGCTATCATTTTACGGCAATTATTGCTTTTTTTTTTAAAAAACACCCAATTCTGCCACTGTTAAACACAGGAAGTGTAAAATCTTTAGTATGGATTAAGTAAGGATTATTTCATTTTAAGTGTTTAACACAAATATACAACTAAAGTATCCTCTAGACTTGACACTAGGCAAAAAATGCACATTGTAAAACCTGTTAGTTCACTAAGGAGCAAGTTGTAGAAAGATGACTACCGTGATTTAAAGCTGACGTAAATTTTTTTTAGTTTCACCAAAATTTAGCAACTTAGCAACCGATTAGTGAAAAAAAGGACTTATGTCACCTTGCAACATTCTATTTCCTCAGTCTACTAGTGATCTGTAAGAAGACAGTTAATCAATCTTACTGTTACAAATATCTATAAGGGTTAATTTTACAAGAAGTGAAGAAATGTTGGCGATATCAAACAGGGCCAGTGTAGAAATGCTTACTCCAGTTTCCCCTTTGACTAACTGGCTAGTTCCTTCCAGTGATCTATGCTTGATTTTGCTAACACTCGACCATTTTAAATGACTCAGGTGATCTGAGCATATCAAAGGAAACCAATACCAAAACTCACCTAGTAGCAGGTTTGTCAGGACCTCTTGCCCCGCCAATGTGTTACTCTTCCACAAACAAACAATAGTACCCCCAATCCAAGGGAAGCCATGGCTGGTTATTCCAATTAGCTTGACCATGGAACGAGCACTTCCCCAAGAAGATCCACTGTTTGCACAGACACCCAACCTTTTGGACATGGCGATATCGATAGCCATGAGAGAGTTCCAGGCTATGCCTTTGAAAGACGGGTTCAACTGCATGCAGTCCTCTTCCGGGAGCTGCTGGCTTTGCCGGCGTTCCTTCGCCCCCTCAGTAGAGTTGCCAGTTTGCCCACTTTGTTTTCTGTTGGGTCCTCGGTTCTCCTGAAGCATTGGCAACGACTGACCGAGAGACATGAATTCTGGTCTAGCAAGAACATTATTCCTGTCCCGCGGTCTGACCCGACGCTGTTGTGCTGGCATTTTCGTTGAACCCACCCCTCAAAAATGCAGAGTACGGGTTTCTTGCAGAGTTTTTTGGGGTGTTCTTTTGTAGAAGAGGAAAAATAGTTCATATATCCCTGTTCTAATCTTCCTGGTGTCTACAATGAGAGCATTGAATCAGAGACACCAGGCTGCTCCCAGCACACATCTCAAGAGTTATATTTAGTCGGGAATGCATATTCTATTTACTCCATGCGTCTGCTGAGCCTGACAGCTCTCGTAGTCTGCAAATCAGGTGCTCCCTGGCTGTGCGGCCACCCAATGGGGAGCTGGAGACTGAAAGAAAATAATATCAGTAACACGAGGACACAGTTGGCTGATGGGTCTATTTAAAACCTCTCTCTAGCTGTTTTGAAACAGAAAGGACTTTGGGATTTGTAGTTGTTAGGAAGTGACACTCGAGCTATGAGTACTTCTGAGGAAGAACAGCAGCTGCACAAGCCTCGTTCCTTGCTAATATAAAACAAATGAGGCATTAAATAAAGCAGCAAGGCACATAGGAAAATAATCGTTTTTCTATCTCCCTTTTCTTTCCCCCCCTCTCCCTATATCTCCGACATAGGGGTTTATTCATTAAATGTGGCATTGTGGAAAATTGATAAGGGAATTGCAAATGTTATTCTAAAATAACTAAGCTGGAAAAACAGCTGAATTTCATATTTTTTTTAATTTAACTATTTTGGTCTACAATTTGCAATTCATCAACTCTTTGCAATTTCCACTTTAGTGAATAACTCCTTTCCCTCTTTAGCTATATGAATGTTCATTTATGTAAGGGCAAATGAAAAGATTTTAACCTCTTCATGTCCATTGCTAATTCCAGAGAGTGATGGTCCTGGTACAGCACTAAATTAAATAAAAACGATTAGGGACTATTATTATTAGCCCCAATGCCAGCAATTCCTGTCCTGTGATAGCCCTTAGGGCAATATGGCACAGTGATATTATCATACACATAGCACTTTGGGGGACGTCTGTTCTATCCTTATCTGTGAGCATCTCTTATGATCAGATAACATCTGGTTCAGTTCTGTAATATATTCTCTTTACTGTGGATTTACGAACTTGCTGCTCCAGTTCATTAATAAAGCATGCATTGTTGTGAAATAATAAACTAGATCTCTCTGAGAAGCCCACTCCCTATTGATTCTATAGGGATTGTGCTCATTGGCCTAAACCAATGGTAGGCAACCTTCGGGACTCCAGATGTTGTGGAATACATCTCACATAATGCTCATACGACCATAATGCTAACAAAACATTGGGGAGATGTAGTCAACATCTGGAGTGCCGAATGTTGCCTACCGCTGGCCTAAACTATTGGCAGCAACTCACAATATGCCAGAAACTCCCGACCACTATGGTTAGTCCCTCCTAGACAGAGCATTTCTTTGCCACTTTGCAGCTAGCAAGACCTCACAAGTAACAACATTAAAGGGACACTATAGGCACCCAGACCACTTAATCTCATTTAAGTGGTCTAGGTGCAATGTCCCTGTCCCACTTAGTCATGCAATGTAAAACATTGCAGCTTTTGAGAAACTTTTTCAGACCTTATCTACTAGGCACTTCCCGGAGTTTACCAGACTCTGGGTTGCCTAACTGAGACTGGCCCACAGATTTGCATGACCTGCAACCATGGCTGGATTTGTCATTACGCATGTAACTTGCCTACAGGTGCCTGTCCTCTAGTGGGTGCCCATTTTCATCACTTCTTACATGTTGTTTTGGAGCTTAGGTGGGTTAATGGGTAGAGATAAGAACCAGGAGTCTTGGTCAGTATTCCCTGTAGCACAGTCAGCCTCCCATGCTTGATAGCAAAGCTGCAGGAACTGGTATGGGGAATTTAACCTTTTAAGGAAACATGACGGAAATATTCCGTCAAGACTCCCGTTTATTCCAGAAGTTGTGTCCTTCAGGGGTTAAAACTCAGTGCTGTTCAGCTCCTCCATTGACTGTGTGAGAGGCTGGACAGGAAATGGAAGGGATCACTTCCCATCTGCCCACTAACAGCCTCTCACACAGGAAATGACTTGCATGAGGAGCAGGGGCAGCAATGAGTGATAACATCTAGTGCACTTCTACAATCAATCATAGGAGGGTGAGTACTGGGCAAATAACCCTTCAAACTCATGCATGTATCCTAAATACCACTGTTTTCTCTAACCCTAAATTTAACTCCTCTCAAAACCTGGACATGCTCTTTTCCTTAGTCCCAAATTTAAGCACCTGAAAAAAAAACAACAACCCTTTAACTTAATCCTAGGTCCAACTTCTCTTGAAAATGAAACACAGCATGTACACCAATACGCCAAGTTAATATGCCTAGAGCATTCAAGGTTCCTTAGGAAAGCATTGAACCAGTGCTTTCCTATAAAGACATCTGTGTCATGTGACCAAGTTTTACTCGGTCAGTGCAGAAGAAGCTCGTCAAGAGGTGGACATCACCATACAATGGAAGCATTGCAGTTTCAGAAAAATTGCCATTTCATGGATAAAAGGATAGGGACACTGCATCCAGACCACTTCATTGAGTCTGTGTGGTCTGGGTGACTATAATGTCCCTTTAAGGAGGATTTATGAAAAACAAAATCCACTGAAATGGTAAGTATGGACTGCATTAATAAACATGAGGTGATTACTGAGGGTTCCATCATATTTATATTGTATAATTAGACCCTGCTTTTAGTGATGTATGACGCTAATTCGCCAGTACAGTCAATACTGAGAGGGTATCTGGGATCTCACAATAATGCAATAAAGACAAGGAGTTTCCTGGTTTTATCACTGTAGGGCACGGTTTTATACGGATTGTTAGCAGACATCATTTTTAATGCCATGTCTGGTTTTACTAGTAATGACATTAATATATTATTATTTACCATACAAAAGAAGAGAAAAAAAATAACAGAAATCTCACCCAGGGAAATTAGTTTCTGTTCATTAATTGGGTGTAGATCACTGAGAATTTCATAAATATCAAGTACAAGCTTTGACTACAAAATGATAATGCTTTCATTAAATCTATGCATGAATACATCCTTGTTAAAGATTACGAAGCAGAATTATATTGAATTAATTTGTTTTAAAGCAGTAATACAAATAGAGCAAATAATTTTCTTCCAGCTACACTAATTTGTAACTAATAAGTTTAGCTGGAATTAAGATCACTGATTAGTGTGGAGACAGCCATCTTTTTTTTGAAACCAAAATTTAATCAGATTCTGTCAATTGCAGAATGATTTTGAGCCTAAATTGCCCAAGGGTAGCTGGATATTTATTTATTTAAAGCAACTCTGTTACTTTTTTTTTTATATATATATATATTGGGCATGTCTAAAATCTCCTCCTCATGAATCCCTGTTTAAAAATAAAAAGAATCCAACTACACTTCCCTCCCACCCCCCATGTTAAACTTAAAGAAAAGTAGGGACTTCTTTTGTTTTTGTAGAATCAGCAGGTTGGCAATAATTGCCCCTGGATGTGGGCACTCACCTCTCTCTAGGGCCACGTGTGACGTCCTGTCCTACTATCGCAAGAGTCAACTGAAAACATAGGACCCCAAACTGGATGAACTAGGCATGTGTGATATTTGACACCCAGTTACGAACAGAGAATACTATTTCTGGGAGTCAACGACGACCCAGAAGGACTATGGGTGCCCCTTTGGAGGTGACTACAGGAAAGCTTAAATTGAGGAGTCTATTGAAGCAGTTTATACCGCCGATATTGGGGTACAGTGATGTAGTGGTGGACTTAACACGATATGGCCACATGGTGGAACTGAATCCCCATATTTATTTGCGAAGATAGGTGATTTTAAGTAGCCTTGTTAAATATAAAGCTGTATTTTTTGTTTGAGTGTGCGCTGTTCCTTTAACTGTATTTTGACCCAGAGACACAGTCAATTTGTCAAAAACAATAAATAAAGCTGATCGCAGGGTAAAAAAATGACTGGGGGCAGCAGTGAGAACTGATTAGCAGATCTGATTTCATATTAAAAAACTACAGATTTAAACATGATGAACAGATATAGTCAATTTGAAAATGCCATGTGATGGTGCATAGACTATTTATGATAACAGAGCCGTTTAACAATGACTGCTGACTAAGCCTTGGCTACCATTTTTCTTTCTTTAATAAAACAAAGTGTAAATTGCCAAAAACTGTTTTAGAACCATGTGTCTATCCCATTACCATATCAACCTGGCCAGGCTAATAGGGCCAGTCTTGAATTGCAATTCAAGGAATGTACACAAGAATGTATATTACAAAAACGAGCATCCCCAGAATATTATATTAGTTGCTTTGAGGCCTCTGAATGTCAGCTGTTCTTTTCAGAGAAATCCTAGGAGATGCTGAATCAATAGTTTGCATATTTGTGGGCCTTTCTTGCATTACAGGGGATCAGACTGATCTGCAAATGGTGCAGATTCTTTTTCTTTTTTTACATTCTTTATTTTTGTTGTGCATTAGTAGAGACACAAGTGTACGACGACATGGCCACAAGAAGAAAACAAATAAGCATGAAAAGTTTGACAGATAGCATATTGCATGTCAGAGTATAGTGCACATTTTATAATAATAATAATAATAATAATATATATAAATAATAATAATAATAAAAACAAAATAACAGGCTTGGTTTGCCTGGTTAAACAGCAGTAAGAAAATTAGGAAACTGTGGCTACAATGGCAATGCTTAAATTCAATAGACTTAGCCTATTCCCAACATATGATGGGTACTGCCCCTATGATAATGGTGGCACAAGGCCCACATGTTGGCACGCAACACATTCTAGTGCACCTGACTCATACGTCCAATCGCATAAAGCAACTAGAACTCGGGGTCTTCAGACAGGGCGTCACCTCACATGCGGACAGGTGATCCACCGAGGGTGAGAAAAGTGTTTAGGGATCTGTCCCGGAGTAGGCCACGGCCTAGAAGAAGGGTGGTCAACAGCTGAACTGAGTCTTTGGCGCGCAAGCGTCAGGACGCATCAGGGCATCGCCCAGGAGATGCGGTGCACGGTCTGAGGTGGAGTTATTGCCAGGAGAGCCTCTTCATGAATGCTGAGACGACTAGAGAGTTTGGCCCAGAAGTCGGCAAACAAGCGATCCAGTTTCTCTGAGAGAGAAGGTTGAGAGTCTCTTGGAGTTACACGTGGCATCCACCATGATATCCATAATAGGTCCACTGGTACAGGTAGGTTGGTGTAGGTACTTAGCCACCGTAGCACAGGTAGAAGTTGCTGGGATCTCTCTCACAGGCGGAGGAAGGGAAAGTGTGATGGGGAGACCTCCAGGTAAATGTGCTGCAACCGGCTGAGGGATTTGAGAGTACCCTGTTTGAGAGTAGGCCTCTTGTAGGCCCCAGGTCTATCCCAGATGAAAGCCACCAATCTTGGTCAATATCACGATGGGTTCAGCCGCACTGGTTGCCTCCTGTTTCCAAGATACATCTGCAGCTGATAGTCAGGACTAATATCAGTAACTACGGTTATTTAAGAGCGGTTCAGCATGGAGCTCGCAAGATGTGCGACCGGTCAATGAGGCTGCTAGCCTCTACAGATTCCCTTTCTGCAATGGCTCAAGTGAATTAAATCGTGTTTCAGACCACACAGAATGTAAACTATTAAGTCTTTGTCCATTCATAAATATTTGTCTCTTACACTTGGGGACTACCAAACTTGTGGGCACATTTCAATACTCTAATCACAAATCACCACTGAAAAGTGTCATCCTGCAGTTTACAGGTTCCATATACAGCAGGAGGGAGATCACAACTTATCAAAATCTCAACATCTGTACACCCATTAACACCCATCTGTACACCCATTGATAATTTGGGGCTTGTACCTTCATACAAAGCTTTGTGATTTAGATTTGTTTGTTTATTGGACTGTGGATGCGGTAATGAGGGACACTGGATTTTGGCAGGCAATGTAGCATGGTCTCCTGGTTCTTGGAGCCACCTATATATTGCATTTACAATTTTGGTGCTTCCACAGGAAGAAGCACCTCTTGGGCCTAGCCTCTAATGATATTAAAGATGACTCAAGTTGGAGAATGCTGAAAACTACTTGGCTATGGTGACAAGATGTTGGCAACAGGGGCAGGGATGGACACCCTTAAAGGGTTACTCCAGGAACCATGACCACTTCATTGATTTAAAGTGGTCATGGTGGCTGGAGTCCTCATGTACAGCATTTAGCTTTGTTATTACCAAAAATTTCACAAGTAATTTACACCATAAGTCCAGTCATGAAAACTGAGACCCCATGGGATGATAATTGACCATGGCACCTCAGTTGAAACTCAGTTGGAATTATATTTCTTAAGGTTAATTCTTAGTGAATTACCTCATAGATCCACATAGATTGTTCTTGTGCCAACATTTGTATTTAATTTTATATACGTAAATATACTTATGCACTGAGAGAAGTTTAAATAACTGCAATCACATGTGTTAGGCCCCTTTTCAGTCCAAAGAGGAAATGTCTACTTTACTGGAAGTGCTCAAGTGAGTACACACTCAAAAGAGAAGTATCTTCTTCATTGAATGAGCTCAGTATTTACTTACTTCATGGGATAGTGTCTCTTCTTTTTTTAAATGCCTTTTTCTTTATTAAATATAATTCAGCCATACCAGTTACCTGTAAAATCAGTATACGCTTACATTGTTTATATTGTATTTCCTAAATCTTTAAAAAGAGATCTTATCTACCCGACTTTAATATTAAATAATAAAAAGTATGGGTCCTTATTTTCCTGAGTACATATCTAAGATTGACAAAATGTATCTTTTTTAAAATGTCAACATTGCTATAGTGTTATTGAAAAAATGATTAACAATGGTGCCACTAGTGCCAGATTAGAGTTCGAGGGGAGGTAGGGGTACCGGGAGAGGTTTGGTTACGGTTGGAATTAAGTTTAGGGCTTTTTTTAGTATTATGGTATATAGGGGGCTTAGATAGGTACTGTTCAGCTTGATCTATGATTAGGGAATACCTGCCTTCCCTAAATTTTGAGAACTGTATCTCTTATGAATCTCAGTCAGGTGAACGTTAAACCCCCTAAACAGATCTACAAATCCCCCTAACCCTAAGGGCTCACCAACCTTAACTACCCTAGAACCTAGTGCACAGGGTAGTGCCATCTGTAAAACAAATAAAGCATACATAGTGCTCTCGATAAAATAACAGAAATTCAAAATGTATGTGGAATGCACTCACAAAGATGGAGCCACATCAGGCTCTATGTAAACAGCCCTTGGGTGTCTTTCCAGGCTCTTGATATGCTTCAGTTAAGAACACAATATCCACAAGGATGGCAATATTAATACAAATTAATTGAGACAAAATATAATTAAAAATATGAAATATAAGGGACAGAAAATATATTTCAGGTATCATGTGAAGTAAAATACACCGCAAGTGTGGCCAATAAAGGCAGTGCATATACAGATAAATACAAATAAATACCGCCAACAAAAGTCCCAGATTATGTCCAGTATAAAGCAAACGCGTTTCAGCCGTAGATGGGGCCTTCATCAGTGCTATCCAACAGGTCCATATTCAGGGTTTAAATGCTTAAACTGTTCCGGCTGTAGCTTGAGTTCATTTCCGAGGGGTATTTAAACCCTGAAAATGGACCAGTTGTCACCTGATGAATTATGAAAAATGTAATCTGATGAATGAATGTTGCCGACCCGTGGTAGGGACCTATAGTGTTAGGAATACAGGTTTGTACAGCTAAAGTTTTCCTTTAAAGTACCAGGTACAGGGGCGTACCTGTGTTGTCTTAATGGCCATCACTATTTTGCTTCCATCAAGTTCAGCCTTCCTCACATATGTTTTTTGCTGTTGATCCAAAACAAGGCAGAAAAAACCCCCCAGTTTGAAGCATTTCCCATTTTGCAACAAACAAGGAAAACAATTCCTTCTTGACCCCAGAATGGCAGTCAGATTAATCCTTCGATCAAGAAGCCATTACCCTACAGTGAAAAATTAGATCCTTGAATATTCTGCTTTTGCAAGTATGCATCTAGTTGCTGTTTGAACATCTGTACGGAGTCTGATAAAACCACTTCTTCAGGCAATTAATTCCAAATCCTTATGGTTCTTACAGTAAAAAAAACCCCTTTCCTTTGCCTTAGATTAAATCTTTCTTCCAGTCTAAATGCATGACCTCGTGTCCTATGTAAAGTCTGGTTTGTGAATAGATTTCCACACAATGATTTTAAGTTTCATTTAGCTGTGAAGCTATCAGGAGAATTAATTTTTTGGCAATCAGAAATTAAACATGTGGTGGACCGCCAGGCACCCCGACTGGGTGCCTCCACCAATCGATGCTTCCTAGCAACACCGAGTACCCCTAAGCACTTCATAACAACCATAAACCCCACAGCCAGCATTACAGCTTGGTTGGGGTGTCGCTGTCCTCCACCCACCCTGGACTCAAGACCAGTATTCAGTTTCCAGTGGGTAGACCTCTCCAAGTCCAGAGAATAAAGCATGATGCTCTTACAAGAGCAAGTGTTGTAATCCAAAGGAGTGTAGTGGTTATAGCAATCCTCAGAGTGAATATAGCTATCCCCTCCACACATGAGACAAGGCTCTATGTTGATGGTGAAGAGGAACTGGTTTAATGGGAGCCACATGCAACCTTATTTGCAACTCCCCATGCAAGTGGTTTCCGGATACATATTCCAGGAGCATTCCCCCTTGGACCTGAGAGGAGACTACAGTAAAACATACACATAATTACATTGGCTCTCAAGTCCAGGACGCTCCCACACAAAACAGGGTAATCCCTCCCCTGTGTCTAAGAGATAATTGAGTCAGGAACTTTACTAAACTCAATTATCTCCAGGCACAGAAAACATACATTTTAACAACATCCTGAAAGTGCCCCTAAAACATAGAAACCCCACGAAAGTCACATCCACTGTAAGCCCTGATCTGGGGGACCAACATATCCAAAAATCACCCAGATCGGTTCAGGGGTTTGGGATTTCCATGGAAGTCATAATTTTGACTGACCGTGCACATAGTCCTATGCCCAAAACAGTTCCAGGGAGTAAGAGCTAATGGTCGGTCTCTCTTTTGCCTCGTTTCCACTGAGCGGATCGGTTCGGTACGGTACGCTATTTTGAGTGTTTCCATTATGAAAGTGGCCCATACAACCGAACCGCACCATTCTGCGTCCTCCTTCAGATGTAGGGCCATAGGAAATGGTACAGTACGGTTAGGGCGGAGCTACTAGCATCACACTATACTATCCATTGATTGGCGGACACGAAAACGTCAATGCTCACGACAAATTACACGCTAGGCATTTTTTCTAAACCCCGCATGGCCCCTGAAGGTCTGACTTGCAGTGGAAACGCTCACCTGAATAGGCTGGACCATTCTAAACCTTCCAAACTGTACCGACCCGAACCAATCCGCTCAGTGGAAACGAGGCATTCCTGTAGTACAAAGGTACATAAATCACATGGACGGAGCCTTTTAAAGTGCATTGGGCAAGGTATTTTGCAGGGCCCATAATCCTGAGGCAGGAGGCTTGCAAGCAGGCTCCTGTAGGAGCCTGTGGTGAGGTTCTGTTCGCCACAAAACACATTTCTCTTTAGAACCACAATGATGGCATTTATTGCTCAAAAAATGTATTTCTTTTTATCTACCCACACCACTTTCATTGTATGGAAAAATAGACGTAATAACGCCACAGTGATTTATGTTTCCACTTTAGAAAGATGAACAAGCTGCCTCAGTGTTTGATACAAAACAACCACCCAGCCATGATGTTAGCTAGTGCTATCAATGAAACTCACCTGTAAGGTATCACAGGACTGTCCTGCCTACCCCAGTGTCACCCAATGTCCATTTTATTGAAGGATGGCTAAAAAATATCTATGCCACATATCTGAATTATAATCAATGATAACCTGTACAGTGTGTTGTTTGTTTTGATTAATGTCTGCCATTAAAGGAAAAATCTGTTTACCATATTTCACAGGGCAAATGGGGCACTTGCCTTGGCACACATGCCTAACCCTCTGGGTACATAGCCTTCCTCTCCTGGCAACCAATCGTGACAGGGTGAGTAATAGCTAATAGTGTATTATTCTACCCAGATTGCAAGTTCCCTAGAGCAGGCTGTGAGATTTAAAAGCGATTACGTGCTAACTTGAGGAATTAAACACAGACTGCTATCTGTTACAGATTTCCACAATCCACACAAAAATCAAATCTCCCATGGGTCCTTATTTAGGAAAGCTGGCCCCTATTTCAGGGCCAAATCCCTCTGTCACTCTCTTTTATAATAACCCTCATTTCTTGGAATTTGGAGTGTGTGGCAGAGACTCACAGCAATAAAACTCACACAGGTTTATTCAGAATTATCGGGAATTCAGAGAATTTAAAATTCTAGGCCAAATTGGAAATGTTCTGCAAGTCAGCTATGTTTTCAATTTGGTAACTATATATAACTAGACTTAAAATCAGGCCACACTATGTGTGTTTATTAAAATGGAAACAATAAATATTAAGAACTGAGCTTAACAGCAAACTACTTATCTGAAAACACAGCCCAGGAACTGATAGTCAGAGCTGGTTCTATATAGTGTCGCTGTAGACAGGAGCACGTCCTCTAGGGGCACCTGCTTTTAGAATTCATAATGTGCCTTTTTGGAGCTTAATTTGGGTGGTTGGCGTAGATACATACCAGGAGCCTTGGCCAGTGCTTGATAACAGAGCTGCAAAACAGTTAGAGGATGTAAAATGAAAATAAAAAATAATTAAATAGGAGGGCACTCTAGTTGAAGTAATTGTAATCAACAAACACAGTAATGTGATATACAGCAAATCGGTGCTCATTTAGTAACTCTATCCCACTAGAGTCAAAACATCAACAAATACTAAATCACAAAGATGCACACCAAAAATAAAAATTAAACAACTTTATTATATATTCAGTACATATTATAAACTCACAAGACAGAAAACAAACAGTATTCAAGAATAATAATATCAAATACACTCACCCAACACTGGGTGGTAAATCATTTAACAGAATAATACATATCAGACCAAAAAATAGTCTGTACAAAAAAAAACATAAAGCATAAAAGAAAACAGAAAATAAACATTAATGAAAAGACAAAATAGAAAAAGAAAATCTGCACACTTATAACAGCATAAAAGTAAATGATACTTACCAAATCAACTGAATCTATGCAAAAATATAAATATAGAAAACTAAGAGAAGAGAGAGATACCACAGGTCCAAGAGGAAAAAAAGATAAAGCCCCAACGTTTTGGCGTGAAGCCTTTGTCAAGGCAGCATGATGACAAAGTGTAACAATGTGCCCTATATAAGTGAGCATAAGTACTCAATAAAATACATCTGAAGAAAATGGGTGGTCTGGTCACCTATTAGGGATGACTCTCCAAGCCATGATCCAGAGATCATGGTTGTCAGGGAAACCATAAACAAATAAAATAATAAAAAGGGTCCCAAATAATTAAAACATTCACCAGAACCTAATATAATAGAATATGGCACGTAACAGAAACATAACAGATCTGATTTAACTTCCTAATCATTAACTTAGTTTTAAGTTCTCTTAAACACTAATCACCTACTCGTCTCCTGCATCTTTTCCGCCATTTCCAAGTCGGTATCTTCTTCAGAATTACCTTATCCAATAAAGACAGCTGTGACATCAGCTGCACCTACTACCACTGGCTCAAGTAGCTCATCCACTTTCAATGTTACCATTACCGACTCCATCACTTACACCAATACCACCACTAACATTACCTGTACCTCCAGCATCAACAAAAAATGAAGCTGAAATTACTCTGACAAATGCCTTTCATTGTAGTGGTTTTGCCAAGAGGAGGAAGCCTAGTTACATTATCTGGAGTCCCTCGAGAAGGTTTGGGCTAGTTGTCAGTGGCTTCTCTACAAATCAGCTGTTATATAAAGTTGGAAATTCACTCTTAATTGCTGACTCTACACTAAGGACACTGTGAGCTGTAACGGCGCTCGGCATATTCCCAGCCCTTGGTGGGGTTGGCTGGCATTATGGGCAGTCAGTGTTGGATGCATTCTAGCCTGTCTGCCATGCCCCTATTTTGGGCTGGCATCCCCCTTTCCTATTGGATCCAGCACTTTTGGGGGCAAACCAATGATCCATGTTTCTTTACTCTGCCCCTTTAGTCCCACCCAACCCTGTCCCAAATTCATACCTGCCTATGTTGGCAAGTAGGCTACCATGACTGACATGTTCTAAATTCCAACTTCAGTTACATAAGTTGCTATCAGCGATAAAAGTCAAATAAATTTTGCAGAAGAACCATGCCTCTCACCAAATGTTCAGTCACACCTTCTAAACTTAAAATGTCTCTCTGTCACTATTTGAAATGAGAATATGTAAGTTATGCAAGGTACAGATATTCCATGATATGCTTCTATTTATCTGCTGGGCCACTATTCTTGTCAGATAAACAAAATACATTGTCTTAAGTATTGTTGATGTTTGCTGTGTTTGTGTGTTTCTGTGGTTTATTTGTCTGTAAAAATAAAGCAATATATTTTTTAATGTCATACATATTTAGCAGGTTGTCCATTCTCTAAACTGATTGTATATAGTGTGCGGTCTCCCATTACAGTATATTGGCAATATCCCAAATGGTGACAGGGGGCATGTTTACCCATGAGGTTGCACTCAGATGTTCCTCTAAGGTAGTAACTCAGTTAGAGGGAATATCTGTTTCTGAAATCATTGGGTTAAACCAATCGCTAGCACAAATATGTGAAGTCATTTGAAGAATCAATGCATTTCTTAGCCATAGGCTGAGATCATTTTGAAAGATCCACTCTCCGTGACAACCCAATGAAATGCCATATAGAGAGCAGAAGTACATTTATTACAGCGTATATACAGAGAGAGCGAGTTGTGAAATATCATATGCCTGCAACTGTGAAAAACAGAAAATACCAAGTATTGCACAAACTTGCAACCGATAAATGGAACACACTCTCTCTAACCAAACCAACCATGCAAAAACTGCAAATTGTTTTCTGTTTGCACATTTTCTATAAATTTATAGAAGATGGTGTTGTCTGAGTGTCCGTTATATGGAAATTACTGCTCAATGGGCTCTATGTTCATAAATGTAACCACATTAATCATATTTATGGTACCCTTTTTAGCTTGTGTAACAGAAAATTTCCCACTTGCTTTACAGAGAAATTCTCCCTTAATTCTTCACAAAAGGCCCATACAAATCTAGCAGCTTTTTTGTGAACCTTCTCATTACCAAAAGTGTGAAACTCCTCATAGACAGGGCCTTGTCGCCATTTAAAGCCTGCGTAGAGTACCACATTTCTAACTAGCTTTTCCTTTACATTTTTTAAGGTTTGCGGGCGACAGGGGTAAATTTATCAATGCTCATATAGCGCTGTGGCGGCAGAATAATATATGGTAATTAAAAAAACAATGCAAAAGGAAAATAACCTCAAAGTTAATTATTTGGTACAATATCGTGATGGGATTTTTACAATATTATTATTAATTACAGGGCATCAATGTGATCTGTGGCACCGTACAAGGTGATTAACAAGTCACCCAGGCTACTTCAAAAATCTGTTGTAATGTAGTCCTCTTGCCGCCTGGCAATCTAGGGTCGCAACACGGCACCTGCATTATGGGGTCACTGTGGCCCCAAGGCTATAAAAGCATGTGATCCTTTGCCTAGAGCCTCATGATAACAGCTGTATTTGCAGGTGTGAATAGAGGAGTACCATTGGACTGCTAGCTTAAATAAAATAAAAAAACACATGTGAAAAACTACACTACCCAGGAATCCTGCAGCAAAGCAGAGGAAATGTCGTCTGTCAGCTGCTTAATATCCAGGACCTGCAGCTTTAGAGAGAATTATAAATCCAGGGGTGGGGGCTAGCTTATAGGAGATGCAGCACACACACACACAGGGCACTGAGCTATCACACACACACAGGCTGGGGCTCCCAGGAGAGGGGGCAGGCAGGCTAGCTGCAGGTCACCAGGAAGGACAGTTAGCAAAGTTTGCCTCCCACACAGCACACTGCAGCAGAGCAAAGTCACAGACACTGCTGACCTGCATGCAGAGCCAAGTGCAGTGCATGCAGTACACAGGCTCCCCCAGCACCCCACGCTGAGCACTGAGGACTGTGTGATGGGTGTGCAGAGCATTATATTGCAGAGGACCCTTCCCTAAAAGAGGGTGACTCAAAGGAGAGATGGGTAAGAGAGATAGAGAGAGAGATCAGGTTTGCAGCCTGGAGTGTTTCTTGCAAAGTTTCCTGTGGCAGCAGATCTGGGACTAAGAGAGGGTGGGGTGTGCTTTATTTAAGGCTGTGTATGTGAGAAGAGGTGGGGGGAGGAAAGGGAGAGGGGTGTTGGTGGTTATATGAAGAGGGAACAAGAAGTGACACTGTCAAAATAAGATGCACTGACAAGGGCACAAGTGAGGGAGATGTGTCCAGGACAGGAGTTCAAGAAAGACAGGAGACATTTATTACCCTGCATGGGGCTCTCCTGACCCCAGTGTCAACTCCCCTCTCTCTTTCCCCCCTATTTGCACATGTGTTTGATACTTTGTATATTTGAGTCCAGCACTGTCACAGAGGCTGCAGCTTTGATGAGCCTGCTCAGTGCTCCAGCAGATGTGAGGCTCCAGGACCCAATCAGGTAACCTTGCCCAAAAATCTTCTCTCACCCAGGAACCCAAGACTCTGGGACAGGCTGGTCACCAATTTTAGGATTTTCAACCACCCCCAAGGGAAGTAACTGTCTGCTGCAGATCCTACATGTCATCAGACACACAGGTACTTACAAAATCCTCTATATTTTATTTATGCATGCTATTTATTTCACATTGTATTCCATTCAATACCTATAAAGGAAATCACACTTTATGTTCCCAAATCATTTTTCCTACAACCATCAAGTATCTATGTTGTTATTATTTCCTATCCTGTCTGCAATGAAGTGTGTTTTTCAAATGGTTCTTTCCAATGTAATATGTTAGTAAATATAATGTGCTAATCAGACCCTTTTATTGCAGTGCTGAGATGCCCCATGTAATTAAATTCTATATACTGTATATTATTTTATCATTTATTTTCCCCCCTGTCAGTTTTGTAGCCAGATGCAGCAATGAATGGACTGCTGCATTATGCTACAGCATTTTCTGTCGAAAAACAATAACAGTCACTTTTAATACTGCTACCGAACAGGATATCAATACGTTTCTAATAAACCAGTAGGGATTTAACAGTTACTATAAGGACGCAGTATAATTATACGCTAGAAATAAATATACAGCGATAAATTGCCATGGTAACAAAATAATCTAGTTTAAATAAATAGGCATAAAAATGAAAAAGTGATAGAAAATGCAAATATTTTGCTCCAGAGCCCCATTGATAGCATAAAAAAGTAAATATGCCGTATTAGATCAGTGCATCAACAGCCAGTGAACTGCAAAGCTGTGATGGAGAGAGAGATAGCGTTTTCAGAATGCATTGATAAATAGTTTTCTCTTTTTTTTTTTTTGCTCTCTTCCTTGTCTCTCTGTTAACCAGTATTTTCTAAAGAATGCACCGTCAAATTAATTACTGTAAAAAAATATTTAACAAAATTACTAGAAAGGGGTTTATCTACTAAACCAGGAATTGTGGGAAATTGTCAATAGAATTTGACATTTTAGACCAGAATTGTAGAACGAGAAATAAAAACAAAACACTCTAAATGATCTGTTTTTCCAACTTTGCTCAAAAATATAAACTTTCTATGCAATTACACCCATGTTCATAGTTTAGTGAAAACACCTCAATGGGGGCTATGTATTAGAAAAAGGATGATTTTTCTTGACACAATCAATTTTGGTCTATGGGCTAATATGATATAATGTTTGTATATTAGTGCAGCTGGCCACACAGCAGGTACCTATTCTGACAGTAATTATATTATACATAAGTGCAGATACTAAATATATCATGGTGCTACTTTTTTGATAGAAATTATTTCATACAAAACTTACTGCATAATCAATCAAATAATATGGGTACTGCAAGCACTATTATGGCTTCCTTATTATATTGGTTATGGTATAAGGAGGCTAAAGGTGTAGGCCCTCCAGAACCTGTCAGACCATCTTTAAGCAGTTTGACAAAAATTGAGGGTCCTTCTATCTCTCAAAGCCTACTTCAGCAGCTGCTGATAAGATAATTAGGAAGCTAGTCTTGTTCAATTCTACACTTTGTCCCAATGGTACTCTGCTGAAGTGGTTAAAGGCAATTCAGTATAGTAGAAACCGGTTAACCCAAATATTTTGGCAAAAGAATAAAGAAGTTGCACTTCCTCATTAGCATGTTGATTGCAGAAGGGGTGGGCTTTAGACATAGATGGATCTCCGATTTTTATCAAACAACTTGAAAATGGTTTGACAAAAACAAAAACCAGACGGTTTGTATCTGTAGGCTACTTGTGCTGTATATCTACATTAAACTGAATTTATTTTGTTGCGTTGGATGTCTCTTTAAGAAGAGGACATTTTGTTTTCGTAGCAGGGCTCTTTTTTTCCAAAGCAGTTATAAAGCTTTATGTGAATTCTGAAAATATTGATATCAATTATTTTCGTTTCCCGTTTCTAAGTACAAAAAATAGTTTACATCTAATATGACATAACCACCTATGCTAACAAGATGGCTACCCTCACTGACTATAAAGTGAATTTGCCAAACTTAGGCCAAGAAAGCTCTTCAAAAAGTTTTCCATTGCAGGTATATTCCTAAATTTGTTATTTTGGGGCAACTTTTTTTTTTTATATATATATATATATATATGTATATGTTGTTTTTTAAAAAATTTACTATATTCTATGTTTAACAAAAAAAAAAATTCATAATTTGAACCAGTTGCAGCCTAGTGGAATAAAATCTTATTGCGACATTTTAACAAGCGAAGAGAAAAGAAAATTAGGAAAGTGCACTAATATTTAAAACTGTTGCATTTGCATATTTTTCCGCCATACAAAACTTATTTATCTCAAAAAGTTGTGATTTTGCACCCTGGTTTTGTTAATGAATTTGTAATACTGTGAGGGCATAATTGGTGCAGTAACGCAAGAGATAGTTACGATTATGTACACAGTCCATTAGCTCCATAGCTCATTAACAAGAAATAAAATCACATAGCTCATTAACAAGAAAAAAAAAATCACCTTGGAAATTATATGCACTTATAATTATCACCTGTTCATGTGTTTTATAAATTAGTATAAAAGAAAAAAAAATATCTTACACAAAGAAGACCAGGCAAACAGTTGCTCAATGCTTATTGAGACTGCAACCCTTATTAAACACACATATATATATATATATTTGTGTACGGCACATTTCGAGGACGTAAGGAACAATAATAAAGAAGCAATAGTAGTAAGAGCAAAGTCAGTTGAGGTGTGCCGAAACTGATGTGAAGTTAGACCTGTAAAAGAGGGCAAAAATATAAGAAGCGATTCTTACAAGTCAGATAAATTTATTCAGCAGATAATTTTTTAGACATATCACAGAAAGCCAATCTTATTTCGTTCTCAGTATTGGGGATGTATTTGTTGTATGCGGATGATTTCCCCCGACCCATATTTTAATGATGTGAGTTGGTACGTGATAACCGGTGGCAGCTGTGGCTGCTCCAATGCAGAATAAATGGCCCGAGAAGGAATGAGGGTTATGTCCTAGTCGGAGTGATATCGTACGAATGTAAAGCATAAAACATTTATTGGTTAGGGGTTTCCCTTGAAAAGCTACTTGTGGGGAATCAGGGATGGAAGTGAGTTGCGATTCCAATAGATTATCCAAAACGTGGATAGGACCTGACTTGGTAGAGGTAGGATAATATTTAATCTCTACTGGAGGACCTGTATGGCTCGTTTTGGTATGAGTAATAGACAAATGTGTATGCCTGTGAAGTAAGGTTTGATAGTATTGTAAACTAATTTAGGAGAAAAGTGGCAAAAGTTGTAAATGCGACCATAGTTACAAATATAAACATTTATCACACAATAAACACGAACAAACCTTTAAACAAGTGATACGCTCTTGGAATAGGCTTTCTTAAATTAAGGTATAAACCAGCCTGTGTGAGCGACCACTATGGAGCAACAGAGTATTTAACGCATAATTAGGACTGTGAAGCTTGGAGGCTCCTTGGGCTGAGAGTTTGCTGATGGATGACCTCCGAAAAAAAAAAAATTCCTGCAAATTATAGTGTGGGAGAGCGCCAGCTACGTTATACTGAATACCCTGAACGTGAACATAAGTGATCGGTTGGTTTAAGTTTGGTTATTGTGTAGATAACTGAATGAAATGAAACATAGTTGCATTGATAATTGAATGGTCTTTGGAGGTTTTGTTTTTGTTTTATATGTGGGCGACGTCGTAAACGTATGAGGATCCTGTGCGGCTTATCCTGGTAGGGTGATAACTTGAAACTAATGTGACTTATTTATTTATAGTATGTTACCAGAAGGAAATACATGAAATTTAGGTAGGAATTTCCGAGGCCTACCTCTTTAAGTACTGTGGTGTATTTAACCCATAAGGCAATCCTTTAACAGGAGGGGAAAACATACTTAATTGTCATCTTATTTATATACAGCCTAGTGTAATTAGGAACATGAGATGCCGGAGACAGAAATAGAGCATAATATAAACCTATTAACACACTTATATACCAATAAAACGCTTTAGCTATGGTTCAACCCCTTAAGGAAGGAGTCAATAGTGCACGTTCTGATCAAAACAAAACGTAAACAAAAACTGGAATTTGCGCTATATGTCTGTTCAACCGCAATTCACCGCTGTCACATTAAGTGCACCCACACTCATTATGTATCATTTTGTTCAGGAGAAACAGGGCTTTAATTTATCATTAACTATTCATATATGAAACATAATTTATTATGAATAAAATTTTAAAAAAATGTGAGAAAATAAGATTTATTTTTAAATTTGTATTTCCGTCTGACATTTTAGCTGTGAATGTCATAATATTGTTAGGTTTTACTGCAAAAAAATACACATATTTGTAATCAGCGATGTCTCATGAGTACAACAGTACCCCCCATTAACAGGTTTTATGGTGTTTTGGAAAGTTACAGGGTCAAATAACGTTCCATTTTCAAATTGAAATTTGCCAGATTAGTAATGTTACCTTTGAGACGGTGTGGTAGCCCAGGAATGAGAATTACCCCCATGATCATTTGAAAAAGTAGACAACCCAAGGTATTGAAAGTGGGGCAAATTTCAATGTCAAAAAAATGAAATGCAAGCCTTATATGTGACTCTCTAACTTTCCAAAACACCATAAAACCTGTACATGGGGGGTACTGCTTTCTCGGGAGACTTCACTAAACTCAAATATTAGTGTTTTAAAACAGTAAAACATATTACAACAATAATATAGTCCATAAAAGTGACGTTCGTTTGTAAAAAATGCAAAAAACGTAAATTTTACTTAAAATATCATCGTTGTAATACAATTTACCAGTTTGAAACACTAATATTTGAGTTCAGCGAAGTCTCCTGAGTAAAACAGTACCCCCTATGTACAGGTTTTATGGTGTCTTGGAGAGTAACAGGGTCAAATATAGTGCTTGCGAATTAAATTCTCTGCACTTTCTCCCTGTGTTGTCAGGCATGTCAATCAAATTTTAATTAATCAAATCACAATTATGTTAAAAGATTACCATATATACTCGAGTATAAGCCCACCTGAATATAAGCCGAGGCCCCTAATTTTACCACAAAAAAATGGGAAAACTTATTGACTCGAGTATAAGCCTAGGGTGGGAAATGCAGCAGCTACTGGTAAATTTCTAAATAAAATTAGATCCCAATAAAATTGCATTAATTGAATATTTATTTACAGTGTGTGTATAGAATGAATGCAGAGTGTGTGTGTGTGTGTGTGTTTGTGTGTTTGTGTGTGTATATAATGAATGCAGTGTGTGTTTGTGTGTTGTGTGTGTATATAATGAATGCAGAGTGTGTTTCTGTGTATATATAATGAATGCAGTGTGTGTGTTTGTGTGTTGTGTGTGTATGCGTGTTGTGTGTGTATATAATGAATGCAGTGTGTATATAATGCAGTGTGTGTTTGTGTGAATGCAGCGTGTGTGTTTGTGCAGTGTGTGTAAACTGGGTGAGGGGAGGGAATTTTTATTTTAATATTTTAATATATTATTTTAATATTATTTTATTATTCTATTATTATTATTTTAATATTATATTATTTTAATAATATTATTTTATTATTCTATTATTATTATTTTAATATTTGCATTATTTTTTGAAAAATGTTTTTTGTCGCCCCTCCCTGGCCAGGCAACAAGCAGGGAGGGGGGACAAATTTTTTTTTTTTAAATTAATGCAAATATTAAAATAATAATATAATAATAAGATAATATTATTAAAATAAAATAATATTAAAATAATAATAATATAATAATATTATTAAAATAATAATAAAATAATAATATTACAATAAAATAATAATACTGAATCCCTGGTGGTCCAGTGGCATTGGCTGTTCAGTGGGGGGACTGGCAGTGAGCTGTTACTTACCTTCCTGCAGCTCCTGTCAGCTCCCTTCTCCTCCATGCAGCTCCTCTGTCAGCTCCGTTCTGCTTACAGTGTAAGTCTCGCGAGACTTACACTGTGAGCAGAACGGAGCTGACAGGGGAGCTGCACGGAGGAGAAGGGAGCTGACAGGAGCTGCAGGAAGGTAAGTAATAGCTCGCTGTCAGCCCCCAACAGGACCTCCGGGCTTGTAATGAGCCCGGCGGTCCTGGTCTGTATTATGGCAATGTAAGTTGCCATAATACAGACATTGACTCGAGTATAAGCCGAGTGGGGGTTTTTCAGCACAAAAAATGTGATGAAAAACTCGGCTTATACTCGAGTATATACGGTACTTAAATATACATGTAGAATTTTAATATACATGCATTTATAGGTATTTAAATTCTATGTGTATACTAATGTAATCTTTTATGTAATTATATGTGTTTATCTATATATATATATATACATATATATATATATATATTTGCGGTTATTTGTATTTTATATATAGATAGATATAAATAGAATGTCATTCTAAGTGTATTTTGTTACCAATATATATATATTAATAACAAAATACAGTTAGAATGAAATTACATATGAATATATAATTTATATTAAATTTAGTTTCAATGTTTTATTTATTTATTTTATTATTTTATTTATTTATTATTGTAATTATACGTATATATATATATAATATATGTGTATATATCTATTATATATAATATATATACATATTATATATGTAACGTCATTCTAAGTGTATTTTAATACTAATATATGTACTTATATTAATATTAAAATACACTTTGTATGACGTTACATATATATATATATATATATATATAAAATATGTATATATATTATATATATATATAAATATATTATATATATATATATAAATACATTTCTATTTTAATTTTACACATGTTTAATATTTTTTTTTTTACACTTCCCACCAGACTGTCTGACATTTCAGACAGTAACCCTGCTGGCAGATCCACAGCCAGCTATAGGTGGCCATGTGATCGCTCTTTGAGAGCGATCACATGGCCCCCGGGGGGGTCATTTGCCGGGGGAGGGCTGTCTGGCAGCCCTCCAGAAGAGGATCGCGGCGGAAGTAAGTCCACCGGACCTCCAGGGATAAAAAGCCGTTACGGCGTTCTATGCCGCCGCAACGGCTTTAAAGCCCTTTTAATGTGGCACGGCATAGACAAGAAATAAAATAAAAAGGACGTTTTAATGAATTTGTTAAACTAAACCAAATTTAACATGGAATGCTGTTTAAATTTGAATGTAAAATGCTTTCATGATGCTGTAGTACCGAAATGAAATTGTCCTGCTAGGTATTAGTGAGTTGACAGCGTGGAAAATAAACGAAAGTGTGCATGAAACGAAACGATAGTCTAAACGAACAGAGCATATGAAAGTTCATACTGAAACAAGCGGCAGTTTATACGAATGAAGGGACGTTTGTACGAAAGTGTGTTTGACACGAACGGCTGCTATGTGTATACTGATGGGTAAACATAAGGGTTTATGCGCACGGATAATTTTAGATGAACGCCGGCTAGCACGAATTGTAGCGTTATGTGGATGAAAGATTAACATGAGCGATTTAGCCGAATGAAATATTTAAAACGAACGTGTGAGTTTGATGACAAGTATGGGGTGCATACGAAATGATAGAGTATAACTTACGGTTAGCCGTTCGTATGCTGGCTTCCCTTGTTATACTCACGAACTCAGTAAGCAGAGAAAGTTTTTTGCAAACGGACTCCCGGCGGGCGGGAAAATGACGTCAGGGTCCAGTGAACCGGAAGTAAACAAAATCACTTCCGAGATCGTCGACGACAATAGGATATTTATGGTTTTAAGTGGGATCTATTACATTGCAGTTAGTGGTTTGTTTTTTTACTTCATGAAAATAAAAGTAATTAGTAGATTTATTTTTTTGATTTTTTTATGGCTTGGTTTTCCTAATGTATACATTTAGATTTAAAGGGACACTCTACCTCCTTTAATGTCTGTGCCGAGGTGGAACCTCGCGCATTAAGCCTTCCCCATAGGAGAGCATCTATTCAATGCTTTCCTATGGGTGATTTGAAGATGCTGGGCGTACTCATGCAAAACGCGAGGACATCAAGCATAGAAACATAGAATGTGACGGCAGATGAGAACCATTCGGCCCATCTAGTCTGCCTAATTTTCTAAATACTTTCATTAGTCCCTGGCCTTATCTTATAGTTAGGATAGCCTTATGCCTATCCCACGCATGGTTAAACTTATTCACTTTGTTAACCTCTACCACTACAGCTGGAAGGCTATTCCATGCATCCACTACCCTCTCAGTAAAGTAATACTTCCGGATATTATTTTTAAACCTTTGCCCCTCTAATTTAAGACTATGTCCTCTTGTTGTGGTAGTTTTTCTTCTTTTAAATATAATCTCCTCCTTTACTGTGTTGATTCCCTTTATGTATTTAAATGTTTCTATCACATCCCCCAGTCTCGTCTTTTCTCCAAGCTATACATGTTAACATCCTTTAACCTTTCCTGGTAAGCGGCATTTCACGGAGTCACTACAGGCGGTCTTAACCCTGCAATATAAACGTTGCAGTTTCTCTGGCTGAGTTGTGCGCATGCCTTTTTATAAGGAAGTTTTTTTTCTGTATTGATGGGGTGAGGCTATAGAAGCATGCTTATGGTGCCACATTACCAGCACAGGCATAGATCAAGTTATTCCTATTTTTTTCCCCCCGGATGTTCTCAGTCTACAACTACTGAGCCCAGCCACTTCGGCCCCATTTCATCATCCCAAAACTTTCACCATGTACCCCTTTTCTGGGAATTGTGGGAAGCCATGCATGTTATCAGGGAATGGGATAGATGCAACAAGTCAGACAGACACCATTGAGGCAGAGAAAGCGATTTACTGGTATCTACTAACTAGTCTCTACATTTACTGGTGATTTCACCACTGCAAGTTCTAGGGAAATTTTATAGTTAGCTGAAAGTGAGCTAGTCAGCTGTATGACTTGTGGGCGATAGGGTTACTGTAAGCTAAAAATATAAGAAAACACAAAGGTGGCATGCCTGTTTTTACTTTGGAAAAACTGCAAAAGTGATCAAATGATGGGTTTGCACACTTTTTTACTTGCTAGTCAGGCTTCTGTCATTTTGAAAAAAAAGTGTGCTGACAAGATTTCATGGGAAAATGACATTCTTTCACATAAAGATTGCGATCATCTCACAGATCAGTCAATAGATACATAGACTTTATTTTAAACTTCTATTTGCAATTGGAAAAAAACATATGTACCCTGGTAGTTTTTGCTGGGTTGGATATATGGTAGATCAGCAAAAACATTAATGAGATAGTTCCTCTGTTGCAGTGTAAGCATGCAGAAGCCAAACACAGAAATATTGGACACAGGTCTTCAGGAAGTAACAGGCCTTTATTCACATTACCGATCGGGTCTCAGATGAACTCCTGTTCCAAATTCTGAGAGACCAACACATGGTGTACATTCCTTATATAGCACTATAACTCCTCCCATTAATAGCTACACCCACATATACCTTTAACCAATCAATGAGCAGAATATAGACTTGTACATCTAGTCAAACCACATGGCTCATCCAAGACAAAGGAAATAAGTGCAATTTCAGTTCCTGCATTCCTGCACATGCTCAGTACACTGATGACAGTATCCTAGCTACATGTAGCTAACCAACTGACACAACATACACATATGCCACATGGAGATTTTGGCCTACTAAATTTTAACCATGCTGGAATCCCATCACATTCCCCCCTTTTGATGCCTCTGATATAACATTATTCCAGATGCATCACCAATCACAGTTTTACCTACATCTCTCAAGTAGCCATTGAACCAGAGTAGACCTTGTAAGCATCTTAAAAACTCCTTCAACATTCTTCATCCTGAATATATTCTCTTCGGGCTAGGGGATCATATCTTCCAGACAGCCATTACATGGGCAGCTGTCTTTCTCTCTATAGTACTCTCTATAATACTACGTAGGGACCTTACCACTAGTGGAATTAGACAGGGCAGGAGGAGGCACAAAAAAATATAATAAATTCTACTCCTCCTACTAATGTCTTAATTCCTCCAAGTTGCTCATACCAACTTCCAAACCAACTACTTAGGTTATACCCATTCCAGACCTGAGTAGGTACATGCTCAAATTTAACCATGTGGCTTGTAAGTTCAGCCACTGCCTGCCCTTCATCATCTATGTGCAGACAACAGTTACTTAGATTAAACTTTCCGCATACACCTCCTTCTACTGCTAGTAAGTAATCAAGGGCTAGCCTATTCTGGTATATGGCTGATCACATCTTGGTATTTTGCCTAGCTAGAAGATTAAGCACTTGAGCTGTGTCATTAGTAATAATCTCAACTACCGCCTGTAGTCTAATAATGCGGTTGAGCATATATAATCGGAGTTCTATATCCATAAGTGCCATCTTCTGCCCAAGTAGCAGGTCCATAATAATTAATAATACGTTGAGGGGGCCACTCATCTTCCCAGCTACCTATATTCAAGGATGCTCTCTCCCTTTTATGATTTACATCGTAAACCTTAACTCCCAAGGTCTCTCCTGTTTCGATTGGCAACAAGAAGAAGGATGGCTTTGGCATACCTAATACACATGCCCCTTCCCAATCTTGTGGTAACTCCGAATAAGTTTTATTACCACAAATCCAGTATAAATTTGCTGGGGCTTTCCAACTAGATGTAGCCGATAAGTCAAACCATACCTCCCTTAAATGAGTGTAATTGGCAAACGGATTAGTAGGTTCCGAGACATTTGAAGCTGACCACCAAGTAGTATTTTTAGTATTAACATTATAGGCTTTTTGTCCCAAGCACGTTAGCTCACCTACAGACGTGTTATACATTGTCCCTTTCCTGGCTATACAAACATGACCTATAATGGAGGTTTTTAACCACCATTCCAATTTACTTCTAGTACTTACTTGATGATCAGACTGGAAAGGTATCTGTTGTTCATATGTCTCAGAGCCAGGGTACCATATTTCCTTTGCCTCCCATGGCCACTGGTCTCCCATATTAGTACCTCCACACACATAGCAATTAGTTACATTAAGACTACCTGCAATACCCTCAGCCAAATCAATAAATAGGTTGTTAACATTATGGGGAATTTTATCCTCAGTACTCATCTCCTCATAGAAGGAATGAGAAACCTGATGAGTTTGAGTTGCCACTGTCTCAGTTTCAAGACCTACATATATTATTGTTCCTGAATCTACTCCTGTGCCATATATTTGGAACCCAAACAGACCTCCAAACCTGTCAATAAAGTACTGCAGATTGGAAATGGTCATGTGAACGGGGTTACACACATAGTTTTACAGTATGGTGTGGTAGGCAACCTTTGGATAATCATATCTTGATCCACTGTTTTTCCCAGGTTGCCCAACCTACACATGACAAATAGGGGCAGAAGTTAGTCTCTATTTGGGCAATCAGGATCACTAGATCTTATACTGGGACATAAGTATTTATCATTAAACCCATAAGTTCGTTCCCATTTAAGATTACCACATACATTCCAAAGGCTTCCACTACCCGAAATCGCCTTACATGCATCAAATAGTAGAATACCCGTGGAATGTATGGTGCTTATCACAGTCCTATTTAGTAATGTCCCCTGGGAGTTACTATTCCGAATTACCAACCAAATTGTACGGGGTTGGAAATGGGGATCAAAACATTTAGACTCTCCTGATATTAGCTTGCACACACTATAATCAATATCCAAATATCTACATTTAGATACAGATCCCTTACATTCATACTGTGAGTGCCAGATGAGAGTTTGGGATATTTGGTTACCTGTTTCAGTAGTCTTAATGCAACTATCACAATTCGGTATGTCTGTACTCCTACCTTCCTGAAAAATCATAAAAATACTAAGACACAATAAAACACATTATTCCTGAAATCCTCATTTTTCTTCGACCGTGCGATGGCCTCTCAGCTTCCCGATTGTGAGGGCTGCAAGGATGTTGTTCTTCTGATCCTCACTTTCCTTCACAGAGATCCCTTCAAGATACTCTGGCTATGACACGTAGGCAGGTGGTCAGGCTTTATTATGGCCGTCAAAACACCTACTTGATGATCTTTGTAGACTTTTAACTAGAATGTCTCAATATCCCCTCGTCACTCCGACTAAGTTGCACGCTTCAACCGGGTCCTGCAAGGATTCTCAGGATCTGGAGTAGCTTGCCAAGAGTCTGCTGCTGGTTTAACCTTAGAATGATGAATCCAAGGAGTCACTTCCGCCACCTTTACAGCTGTTGGGGTAGATAAAAGAACAACATACAAAGGCTAACAGGATACACCCCGAGCTTTAACTCAATATGTATTGGTGGGATATTACGAGCAAGTCCTGGAGGATTATTTTCTTCCCATACTCCTGGAATGTCAAGTAAGGATTCATCACTCTTAGGGTTAACACTTGTCACTATGGAATAGAAGCGTCATTCTTCTTCCCTTGGCACCGATATCACCATTATGCCTGGTAATCCCTTAAACTTCAGAGATGTTAATCCATTAGGTAAAAGGTTATCTGAGCTTAAAGCTTCGATAATAGATCTCATCCTAAAAGTTGAATCGGACACTCTGGCATATATAGGAACTAATGCTTCACCACATGGCCTCCCAGAATACAAGTGCGACTCTTAAGAACCAGTCTAGCTGCACTTCTCCCAGTAGCTCCTATCACAGTTATAGTCTTCCCCGAAGGCGGAGCCACCATCTTAGTCACCACAGAATGTTCAGCACCTGTGTCGATCATGAAAGAACTTCTCTTTCCCCCTATTGCTACATCGACCATAGGCTCGCTCGACCAAGTGGGATGGAGCCCAGTCGGTATCAATAGTCTTCCATGATAGTGTCAGCCAGACCCACAAAATCTCTATCCTCTCTTTCTCTAGGTCTCTGCGTGGGTGGATAGTATCTGTCTCCTTGAACACTTCCTCTACTATTCCCACCATTCCCTCTAAAACTTCCTCTTACTCTATAACTACCACTATAACCTCCTCGTACCCTTCTCTCTCCTTGTCTATCACCTTCATACTGCTCTCTCTGTGGACACTCACTCTTCCAATGTCCCTCCTTTCTACAATACGCACATTAATTCCTACTTAAAGTCCCTTGCTCAGCCTATTCTCGTCTCCTCTATTCACTTCCCTGTCTTTCTACACTTAAGATAGCTACCGCTAGCATATCTTCCTTTTTCCTCATTTTACGTTCTTGCTCCGTCTCCCTATTACTATCACCTTGGGCCTGGCTGACAAATGCTGAGTTAATCATCCTAGAATTCTCAGGAGCCTCTGGATTAAAGGGAGTATACAACCTATTTGACTCAAGCAGTGTCTAATATGGGACTTCGGCAAGGCTGCCCAATAATAGGTTCCAGTCTAGGATTAGTAAGATAATTTTATTAGTCAGCATTTGGTGGATGAAAAAATGTTTTTGTTTAAAGTGTTAAACCAAAAACCTACCAGTAGGTGTCACCAGAGGGTAATTGTATCAAAATAATCTTTATGGGTCTAATAAGAAAACTCAACTTTTAATATATTTATACATAAAATAAAACCTTATAGCAATAAATATATTAAAATAGGGTAAGCAATCCTACATCTATCTGTTATAAACAATGTATTATCAATGTAACTCCCGAAGATGGCCAGTAGGTGGCTTAGAGTGCCTCCCTAAAGTCAAATGAAACAAATAGACTTTAATTAATTATGTCCTATTTTATTATTACTTATTTTAATCAATGTCCACCCTGCTAGCTAGGCTTGATTAAATCTTTAGTTCTAAGGTAAATTAAACATCTCAGTTTGTAGTTTAGTAAAAAGGGGACATTTTGGACAAAGCTGGGAGGGGCCCATCCAGTAACTAAAAAAAACCAATATACCATCTGATACCATTGATCATTGATTAGGGGGAGGGGTAGTACAGAAATACAAGAGTTTGAAACACAGGAACAGATAGGTATGTGGGTAGGCGGGGACAGTAGAGCAGGGGAGTGCAAATACTGATTATACCAGCCAGAAATGGGCGTGGCTAATCTGGCTCTGGAGGATGTTTGGGGGGTTGGTAATCAGATGCCAGGGGGGGAGGGGATGTCCAAAGCAGTTGTAATTAAGTCCTTAGTTCTGACCACCATGTGGCTACATTGTTTCTCATATGACACAGTTTAATTCACCAAGGCAATTTTTCAACAAATCAGTTTCCAACAGTCAATATATAGAAACTGATCATAGAATTCCAGCCTACTAGTTACAGCCACATGTACACCCTGCACTAAATTTAAGTGAAGACTGCTACATGGAGGCCATGCGGCCACCAGGACAGGCTACTCCCTACTTTTTTTTTTTTTTTAAACATACAAGACAAAAGACTAACAGCCAAGTGAATCAGATTATTTCAACAGAACGTCTGATTCAAAAAGCTGTACAAATATACACACAGTTTCAACAGTCACACCAATCTCCTTATCACCAGCAACACATTGCGCAGTCACTAGGCCCAAACACACACACAGGATCCTCACATGCTCAACAATATCACGACGTCGCACACACAAAATTAAATCAAAAACCCACCAAAGACTATACACTTATCAATGTAACTATTATTCAAACCATACAACTATCCACGCTATTAATCCATATAAACTAACCGATCACATAACATTTCAACAGATTCATCTCTACAATTATCCGTACTATAAATCAACTCTTGACTAACCAACTATATCACATTCTAGTAACCTCATCTTTACAGTCAGTGGTTATGGTACAGTTAGTAAGTGGTTATAATACAGTTTTAAAGTCACAGATCAGTTAGTAACAGTTATGGTATTATACAAATAACATAAAACAGCAATTGTTAGTAATTTTTACACAATGTCAGTGGTTATGGTACATGTCAGTAGTTATGGTACCGTGCGCTATTTTACAGTTATACACACAATTTACACTCCCACTAGACAGCAGAGCTCTAACTTTCTAGTAGGACATACAAGTTAACCAATTCACCAACTACAATATATTTAACAACATTTACAATAATCCCAACTATTCTAACTGGCCAGCACCTCGAGAGCTTTCGATCTATTTATACACCAGAGATTCGATAAGTTCTTCGCTGCCCAGACACCACGTATAGCGAACTAGAGGGCAGAATTTACACAGTACCCAGCTAGTCTATTAAACTATCAATAAGCTAGTGGCTGGATTTACAACAGAGCACACTTAGTTAAGATAGGGTGAAATCTAGCAAACTATAATATACAACAGAGTATGCTAGTCTCCCGGTCCCCCCGACCTAGCGAACAAAATTTACACCCTAGATACGCTAGTCAAGACAGGACACCGGTGTCCGACATGAGCTATTTACACCAGAACTCAGTCTGACCCAAACCACCTATATTAGACGGGCTGACTACAGAGCGTCTAATTTCCAGATAAGTGTTGCGCTTTTCACTTCTTCCTTCTATTGAAGGGGCCAATATCAATAACCGGTTCCAAATATAAAACCCCTTGTGGGTCTACCGCTCTAACGGTATCAATCTCACCTGTTAATTTCTGAACCTGGGTTCACTCATAGACGGAACAATCCGGGACTCACTGCGCAGAAGCCGATGATCTCCTGGACAAAAGGCCAGTGGCGCCGAGACGAAAGGAGGTCCACGCAGTAGAAGTCCAGGATTGTAGCGTAGAAGGTTTGGTAAAAGTTTACCGTCTCAAATCTCTGTGCCAGCTTCCGTGCGATGAGGTTCCCGGCCCAATTGCACCAGAAATGTTGCAGTGTAAGCATGCAGAAGCCAAACACAGAAATATTGGACACAGGTCTTCAGGAAGTAACAGGCCTTTATTCACATTACCGATCGGGTCTCAGATGAACTCCTGTTCCAAAGGATCTGAGAGACCAACACATGGTGTACATTCCTTATATAGCACTATAACTCCTCCCATTAATAGCTACACCCACATATACCTTTAACCAATCAATGAGCAGAATATAGACTTGTACATCTAGTCAAACCACATGGCTCATCCAAGACAAAGGAAATAAGTGCAATTTCAGTTCCTGCATTCCTGCACATGCTCAGTACACTGATGACAGTATCCTAGCTACATGTAGCTAACCAACTGACACAACATACACATATGCCACATGGAGATTTTGGCCTACTAAATTTTAACCATGCTGGAATCCCATCACACCTCATTATATTGCACACCATGGCATGTTGTGTGTACCCTGAGCTTAGCAATTTTGTTTCTGTTCCCTTTAACAGCTTAGCTTAGTTTGAACTACAATTCTAACCAATCTCAGGCAACAGAACACTGAGAGGCTAAATATAAGTATTGGGGTTGTTCACTAAACCAGGACTTGTGGAGCGTTCAAAAGGGATAAGCACATTTTAGGCTAAAATAATTAAGCTGGAAAAATAGCAAAGTTGTGCAATTTATCAAATTTGACTAGTTTAGCCTAATTTTAGATGTTCTTGTCATCTCACCAGAGTTCCTGCTTTATTGAATAACTAAGCACAAAAGAAGTTCATCTTCAACATCAGTTAGAAACTACCTGTTGTCTACCACACCTACATGCAGGTGACTCCATGTCTTTACTACAAGAGCCAATTGTCCATTTAAGACTTTAAGAAGCTGCAGAAGGAGGGTGGTGGGTGGTTATCAGTAAAGAAAATACTAAAATTATGGTTAATTTCAGGTACCAAGGAGGCAACGGTGGGAATCAGCTGATTGCTGAAGGCCCCGAGATGCTTGTGATTCATTCTCTATGGATATAGCACGGGAGATCCGGCATATTATCCTCAGCCGCAGGGAGGAAGAGCTGGAGGGCAGAAACAGCTACCATCTTTCAATGCGTCGCCTCCCCCAGGACTGCCTGAACCTGATCGAGATTGCCCTGGTGCTAAATGCCATGGGATGCATCCAAAGTCTCAGCTGCAAACCCAAGGTCTTTAGAGAATCCATCTCAGTCCTTGAGATTAAGTCTTCCATCGATTCCAGGCCTACCAGCATTGACGAATCATCCAATGTGGTCCTTCGATACAGGACACCTCATTTCCGAGCCACCGCTCAAATTTTAGTGCCTCCCATTCCTGGGAAGGAAATCTGGAGAGTAGGATGGATCCAGGGTTGCAATCACATGGAGTTTTACAATTATTATGGAGACCTTGGCAAGTGAGTATGGTTCCAGAGTCAGGGACACTAGATTGTGTCATATGTAGTCTTTGAGCACTTTAGGCCTGCTAGTTTTTGTATAATTCTATTTAATGGTTTAATGCGAAATGAGAAAGCCCAGCAGCCCATATCAGCATGAACTCATACACCTGAGCAGCAGTGGTTAGTTAGTCAGCCTATAACATGCTGGTATGAAATGGTCTGACTAAGGAATTGTGTAATCTCTTACCTCTGGTGGGGAAAAGGCTTTGGGCAGACACAGTGTTAAACTGAATGGAAATGTTTTAACATTGAAAAAAAATTAATTCAGGTTAACACGGTGTCTGACCAAAACCAGTACCAGTTGACTCTAGGTACTATAACCAATTCAGTGAGATGAAATTGTTTTGGTGCCTGCAGTGACCCTTGAAGTAGTCAATTGTGTGGATTGCGGAGCAATGTGCTGAGTATTACCTGTACAAAAAAGGTCTAACTAATACCCTCTGTAACTACAGGCGTTTTGACCTTTCGACCATTGTGCATGCTTTCAGAATGTTCATGAATAGTTCTGCCGAGCAGTTTGTAGAATTTGCATGTCGTCCGAGGAAATCATATAATCATGTCTGATATATAGTTAAGAAAAACACAGAATAGCAAGCAGGAAGCACTTGTCTCTCTCTTTTTTATTTTTATTCTTTTAGTTTAGTTTTTACACATTTTGTCAAGAACATTGCATACATTTGCATAGGAAGTGCAACAGGGTCAATTTGGACAATAACATAACGGCGAATGTGTACTTTTCATTCGCATCAGCATCCACAAATGTAAACAAATATAAGTACATGACATCGAACGCATTTGTTTAGTAAGTGCAGCAGTGTCATCAGGTATAATAACAGAACATCAGTTGTGTTTGCTTATCATTAGGAGCGGTGTGTCGACCAAAGCGATATCGTAGCACTGAGTTTATTTGATAAACTGATGCGTCGAGGTCATCAAATACAATAACATAACATAACCACGGGGGATTGTGGTTTGTCTTTCTTTTTAAGGTGCGTGCTGTCCTAAAAAAATAAAGTGATATTTAAATCACTGTTTATAAAAAAAAAGTGCAAGTCATGCAATCACCAAAGAAAAACTTGTTTATTATTTCTGAGGTGTTAAGTGGAGACAACGGAATTGCAAAAAATTTTATTGCTGCTGTTTTGGGCTATGTTTTACAGTTTCGTTATTACTGAATAACTCATAATTTGCTAACAGGTAGCACTGAGTCAGATATCCTAGCTTTACCCTTTCATTCTCAGCAATATGGATACATGCTGACTCTTGCTTTCCATTTTTCTGCGACCACAATCTTGCCATTAAATTCCCACTTACTGTCCTCTTTCCTCCACTGCTGCTTTGGGTCTTTACAAAAACATATTTATCTGCCAAGACTCCATTCTGCCTTTGTGCATCTCTGCAAAGGGACAGCAAGGGGTGACTCCTTTGCCCACCTCTACAATTCAACAGTAACCTAGTAGGTATACATTCTAGATGCTACAAAGGTGAGCAAGATAGGGCTCTAAGCACACTAAGTGTACACCGTTGGTTTATTGCAAGCTACAGGGACAGCTTTATAGGCTTTGTATAGCACAGATGCTTGGTATAACTGTACGTACTGTATGATGGCACATATACAGACTTTTTTGTCCCATTTTGGTGACAAAGAGTTTTGGGTATTGTAGTTCATGTTAAGTCTATTCATTGCTGTTGAATCAATTTATTGTCTAGATATCTTATGAATTATGCTTAGAGCTGTATGGTACTATTGATGTGTCTGTCAGCAAATATTCAACGTTTATCAGTTTTTCATTATGTTGGGCAGATCATGAAAAACTTTTCCCTAAAACTTAGAATGAATATGCTCACAAAGGACATTGATTACAAAGGAATGCCAGAGTACTTGCCTTGATTCTCTACCTACAACATATTAAAGAGGCATTCTGAGCACCATAACAACTCTTACATTAAGGGGTTAAACTGTTTTCAAACGGTTTAATCCCAAAGTTGCCTCCAGCACCAAACCTCAGGTCATTTAGGCGGTGTCCGGCTTTTAAATCTCAGTTTCAAGTAGAGCGAAGTGCGGCCGGCAGGGGCACCGCTGATTGGCTTAGAGTGTACCTTTTTCAAGTCAGTGTTATTAAATGTCCAGAAATCGTGGACAATGAAACGCATAGCTACCTGAGAAGTCAGAGCAGTGGCGCCAAATGTAATCAATTAATTGTGTTTTAATAAATAATTAGACTAGGACTGTAATCAGTAAACTGTAGATTGAAAGCCACATATAACTTTATCATGAATGGATTTATTTAGTTAGGGCCCTAGGCAGATTACTGTTTTTGGGTCCCCTTTCATTCTTCACATAGAGATGGTGAATGGGCAAAGCAAATTCATGGTTCTCAGGTCTCAGTCTAACCCCTGGGCGCTGATTTGAAAAGGACAGCTATAGTCACAGTTGAACTATTTTGGTGTAAATTTTACAATTCACAGTGTTATTCGCTGCCATTCAGATTTTTAAAGCAGACCTGTCATTTTATGTCATTATTTGCATAGATCATAAACCTTTTATAAAATATTCATGTTAACTGCATTGCAATTTTTATTGAAATTCCCATGCAATCAAAATGAATCACAAGAAAATAGGTACTTTGTCTGGCAAAGCTAACAAAAGGGAGCAACAAAAATGTTCTTTTTCCCCTCGCATATATCCATAATCCTCAATGTTGTACTCTTGTACATGTGCGAGAATACAGCAATGATATGACTTCTGATGGTTAAAATGCCAGGGGTTGTAGAAAGAAGATGACGGCACCCAGGAGACAAATCTTCATGCAAGTATAACTCACCTCTCCTTATCCTCCTCCCTCCCCTTCCCCAACCCATTAATTCACTACAAATTACAAGGTTTTTCACTACAGTGTGAGTTCAAAGTGTATTTCAAATGTAAGACCAAAAAGGCTGAAGTTGAAAAATTTTCTGTGAGCTATGCTTCCAAATCATCTGCTTTGGCCTTAAATTTGAAATTCACTTTGCATTCACCTCAAATTTATAAGAATTATAAAATTTTCTTATTTTTGACATAAGTCTGTAACTCTTGTCGATTCCCCAGAATTCCCTATGTGTCAGAACACCCCTACAACATGCTGTTTACCAACTACCGCCCGAACCATGCATTTTTTATAAGCCCGATTGATTAAAATGGCGTGGGAAAACTCTATGGACGTTATATATGTGGTCTGTGGTCTATATTTTATTGATTTTAGGCCACAAGTATGCGTTACTTAAAAGCTCCTCCGATTAAAACAGGGAAGTGGTTTCCCAGTTTATTATAATAAATTATATGTAAAATGCTGAAATATTTTTCTGCACAACAGCTTTAGCAGCAATTGAACGTTTGGGTCTAGCTACCTTAAAACTAGTGCAGATATGCTAATGTACAGTGTATGAACACAGCCTTCAAAGGTTCAAGGATCACAGCCATTCTGAATATCTGTTTTAGGGAAAAAAAACAAGTTACTTTTTAGAATCATTTAGGATTACAATTTTTAAAAAACAAATTTTTACACCAACTTGTAGCAAATTTAGTTTGCAAAACGTTGGCAAAAAAAACTGTAGTCACTGTTTGGTTATTGTTGGGCGCTGCCTTCCATGCCCCTTCCTCACGTCTCATAGAAGCCTGTGCCCGCTCAGAGCACAGAGGGAGGGTTTTAAATAAATAGAAAAAAAAAGCCTGCAATGGAGGGAGGCTGGAAAGAGCGCACAAAGGGAGGGGAGAGCTAGCTTCCCCTTGCAGAAACTTTTTTAATGTCTGTCAGCAGAGTTAAATATGCACAGAATTTACATTAGGCAGCCCGGAACAGAGTGCTGTAGGCCCCCAGCACACAATTAACAATAATTCTAGACCCCCCCCCCTTAATTTAAATTTTCCCCACCCCTTCCAGTCAAGGCCACACTTTGACTGACGCACACACTCACTGATAGATGCATACTCATTGACAGATACACACTCTCACTGATTTGACACACTGATAGACACACACACACTATTACTCGGACACACACTGACAGACGCACACTCTCACTGACAGACACACAAACTCACTGACAGACACATACACACACACACATATTCTCTGACCGACACACACACACTCACTCACACTCACTCACAGACACACTTCCACACACATACATACATACATACATACACATACTCATAGACTCACACTCATTCACTCACAGACACACACACACACACACACATTACCACCAACACTCACAAATTATGTTTTATTATTTTTTATTTTAAATCCACCCAACCTCCCTGGGAGAGCTGGAGTATGGATTACTTACCTCTCCAGTAGGGCTGCTCAGCGGACAGGCAGAGTAGGCGGCAAGGGAGCTCTGATTTTACTGCTCAACACCCTCGCGCGCCGCTCAGTGATGCTGGGAGCCGGAGTGACGTCATATTCTGGCTCCCAGCTTCATTAAGTGGCGCGGAGTGAGCCGAGCAGGAAGAGCTCAGGTGAGTATGCTCCCTCGCTGCTCGCTACCCGCTGCCAGCTTGGGGGGGGTTTCAAAAGTGGCTAGCTGGACAGCTCTTGAGCCCCCCAGGACACGAGGCAAGCAAGGGATCTGGCTGGGTGCTTGGGGGCGGCTTTTTTTGCCGCCCCCTGCAAAGTGATGCCTTGTTTGCCTCGTGTAAGATACGTCCCTGTCTATGAGGAGACGCTGATTGGCTAGGGCTTTGTTTGGCTTGTGCTGGTTCTGGCCCTGATCTGCCTCCTTGACAGTCTCAGACAATCCTATGGGGAAACACTGTGATCTCACAATGACCACCACTTCTGATGTCAGCCAAGCAGGCAGATGAGAGGCAGAGGCAGCAGCTGCAGACTTGAATACATATAAGATTTTGCTATGTTTAGGGAGGCGGGGTAAAGGGGGGGGGGGCTGGATGGTAGTTTTAACACTATATGGTCAGGAATGCATGTTTGTTTTCCTGACCCTATTGTATTCCTTTAAGTCCTGCTAAAAAACAGATGATTGTTATATTATATCTTGAGATGCAAAACCATAGGATTTGAAGAGGGTGTACGTTCTTTTTCACACATATATATATATATATATATATATATATGAAGAGTTGTAAGCTGCACTCACGGTCTCTGTTAAAAATTCAATTCTTTATTATATTTCTTTAAAAATAGATTGACGTTTCAGTCCTCCATTTGGCCTTTCCTCAGGATCAAACATGCTGATCCATTTTTAACAGAGACCGTGAATGCAGCTTACAACGCTTTCTATTTGAATACCCGGCACTTTACAATATTTAGCCTGTGTGCAAGGACGAAAAAAATAAAATAAAAATATATATATATATCCAGGAATCCTTAAACTGAATATCTTTAAATTGCCGGGTGCCAGACCTTTGGGCCTCTTTTATCCAAGGAAAACAGAAGTTGGAATGCACTCACGGTCTTTTAATCAATTGCAGTCCAACTTCTGTTTTATTTAAATATATATATATATATTTAATTTTTTTTGGGAAGTGGAATGTCCCCTTGATGCCCCCAAATCCAACTCTGCTTAGCTGTTTTCAAACAAATTGCACTGCAAAAGTGAGATACATTTGATAATAGCATTGACCCATTCACCTCGTTGAGATATGCAATGGTTTGATCTCGAATAATGCGAACCTCAGACGGAACTTTATCAACTGATAGGAAAAGAATTGAACCCAGTGAAAGTGAAAGAATATAATAATATTTATAATACTTCAACTCATTCACCATAACAAAAGAGATTTGCCTAAAGGAACACTCTAGGGTCAAGACTACAAATGTGTATTCCTGACCCTATGGTGTTAAAAACACTATTTAGGTGGCAGACCCACCCATTTCCCTCTGAAATAGGGTAAAAACATATTTTTATTCCATTGCCAAGTGGGTCCGCCGGTGCAGGCCCCACCCTGCTCCGCCTCTCTAGCTGGCATTTTCAGAATTGACAATCTCGGCCAATACAATGCTTTTCCATAGGAAAGCATTGGGAGGTTAATGCGCACGCATGTCAAAAACACCAATTTGCACCAGTCAGCATCTCCTCATAGAGATGGATTGAATCAATGCATCTCTATGGAGAAAGTTCCATGCAGGGCGTGGATACGCTGAACGTCAGTGCAGCACGTTGTGCAGCACTAACCCAGGAAGCACTCCTTGTGGCCATCTGAGTGGTTGCCACTGGAGGTGTGTCCAGGCAGCTATGTAAACACTGCATTTTCTCTATAAAGGCAGTGTTTACTTGAAAATGCTTGTAGAGACATACTACACACACCAGAACAACAACTTTAAGCTGTAGTTGTTCTGGTGACTATGGTGTCCCTTTAACTCTGGTCTTTAATGGGTTAATATGAGGCTTTTGTGCCTTTGAGGACACAGTGCATTGAGCACAGTTAAATTAATGAAAATGTAATATTCTTGTGGTTACCTCCTCCATGCTGCAGTAGAGAACTCATTAAAGTCTGTCTGGTTCGTGGCACTATAGGGTCAGCGTGACATGTCCCCAGTCCTAGAGTGCTGTGATCAGCATGGTCGGAGATTACTGGGTGACCTCCACGGCTAAAAAGAATACAAGGTAAAAATGTTCAGGATTGTTCTAGTGGTTTCCCTGAAAATCTCCCTGTTGTAAATTGTCTATTACAGTGAAATCCTCTCTACATGACTTGTACAGTAATAACAATGGGTTTATGATGAGAAACAAGTCACAAAATTGAGGCTAAAAGAGCCAAGCTGTGAATATAAGCTGTAACGTTGGAGAAGGTTTAGGAATCAACTATGCTAGCTTTGCAAATAGTTTTTTTAAAGGAACTTTAAATTCCGCGTCTCTGCCATTAGTAGTGGTATGGCACCTGGTCGTCCCCAGGTCAAAAGTCAGACAGATTTAAAAATCTAGATCGGGGTGGGGCGCCAGGGAGCTGAAGTGGTTATGGTGCTTGCAATGTTTCAATAATTCATTACAATGTCTGTTTTAAACTCACGGTTTAATGCAAACACCCTATAGTTTTACAAGCACAGTTAAATGCTATTATCCTGCCCATTTATGCACCCTGTGTTCTCTAACCTATGCTGGATTGCAACTCCTGCTATGCTGAGCCTGGTACGTGTTGTAGCTGTGGGTAAAATGCCTATGGTTAACTGCGAACCTCACCATAGTAAGAAGATGTTTTTATAGGATTTCTGGGCTCCTGTAACAATAAATGCCACTGACAGGAAATATAAATCTAATTATACTGACAGGAAATATAACATTTCCTTTTTGAGGTGAGCATTTCAGACATAATATAGAATAAGATGGAGGATGGGCTTAGTGCGCCTCATGTTTCTGAATTTCGGCCCCTAGCTTCATAATTAAAAAGAGACACTATAAGCACCAAAATTATTTTAGTTTAAAGGGACTCTCCAGTGCCAGGAAATCAAACCTGTTTTCCTGGCACTAGAGAATCCTACAGTGCCCCCTCCTTCCTGCACCCCATCCCATGTTGCTAAAGGGGTTAAAATCCCTTCAGACACTTACCTGAAAACAGCGCCGATGTCCGCCAGCGTGGGAGACCTAATGCGCATGTGCGGCACGCATTAGACCTTGCCATAGGAAAGCATTATTCACCGGAATGCTTTCCTATGGGGATTTCGGTGACACTGGAGGTCCTCATGAATAGTGTGAGGACGTCCAGCGTCGTTTAAGCAACCAAAAAGTCGTTTAAGAACCTGGAAGTCCCTCTAGTGGCTGATAGACAGCCACTAGAGGAGGACTTAACCATGCAAGGTAATTATTTCAGTTCAGAAAAACTGCAATAGTTGTACTTGTCGGGTTAAGGGTGATGGAAGTTGGCACCCAGACCACTCCAATGGGCAGAAGTGGTCTGGGTGTCTGGAGTGTCCCTTTAATGTAGTGTTTTTGATATAGAGTTCATGCCTGCATTCTCACTCTCAATTCTTGATCACACATACCCTGCAGGTGGCCTACACAGTCCCCCTACACATTTCCTGTAATGAGAAATTAGGTTCAATTTAGTTTCCTATCTCCTGCTTTGTTAATAGCCTGCTAGAGTCTGCGGTAATCTGGGATTAAAGTTGAGTTAAGAGAGCAGGAGATAAAACGTCTAAAGAAAACACACTATGCTATCACATCCAATTGAACATTAAAATATTTTTTCAAGTTGTGGAGGCGTGGATAGGTCTGTATAAACAGAAACACAAGTGATTTAACCCCTAAATGGCAGAGAATTGAGCAGGGGCACTATCTATTCCTAGGGAAGGCAACCTTTGGCACTCCAGGTGTTGTGGACTACATCACCCCTCATGCTTTCCCAGCGTTATGGCTTTAAGAGCAATATGGAAGCCGTAGTCCACAACATCGAAAGTGACAAAGGTTGTTTACCCATGATCTTTTCAATACACTAAAAGTGCTTTGTTAAGCTATAGTTGTTTTGGTGCTTAGAGTATCTCTTTAATGCAAAGGTAGCTGGTACCAACTGCTGAACACCTAGAGGCCAGGTACCATTTGTATATCTAGCCTTGAATATCTGTATTAGTAAATGCAGCGGAGGTTGTCAGATCCACCAAGTTGTCTTGTCATGTAGTCGCATATTGCTTACTAAGGGCAGTACATGAAGAGGGCTGCCCTGCAGCTTGTTGCTCCAGATGTACAAGCAGGAGATCACTTTTTTAAAGGACCATTCTAGGCACTCTAATTATCTGTTATCATTGAATAGTTAGTGCAAAGAGAACCCAGGTCCCAGGATCCCTGCACCCTAGATCAGTGACCAAATTGTCCACAATACATGTACATTGTGAGAATCTATTGAAAATAAACCAGATATGATTCATTAGCCATGGGATAGCACAGGACAGCAGTTATCAAATTTCTAGCAGCCCATTTTGCTTAGGAAGGCATATGTGATGAACTAATTAGTTTGCTGTGTGGGAGAGATTTGGACATCTAACCTCCCTGTTTAAAACCAGGGGTCTGGGTCAGTCTCAGCTTGCACTATATCACTGAGAACCTGCCAATCACATTTAGATTTGTATCCACTTAAAACAGAGTATGCAGTATTGCTGTTACAGATGTAATTGAAGGCTCCATCCCCTTTGATGTCATTTGTATTCTGGCCTAGAAAATGGTTTTCAGTGATTTTGGTTCAGTAATGGATTCATGCACTCACATTACCTGTACAGTCATAAGAAGCCCATGAGACTGATATCCTCCCAGAACTAGGCAATGCAAGGACTCCATGGCATTGGTAGGAAGCCTGTAGCTAAGTGACCTGCCATTGTTTCTGTGGGAAATGCTCCCTATAACATAAAACGATTGGACTGCAAATCAGATCGTGATCCATGAATCCAAGAAAGATTGAAAATATGACTGCCCCTTTAAAAAAAAAAAAAAAGATGAACCTTTGCTCCTCGTGTCCTTCAGTGTGGGTGGGAAGTTTCATTAGCTTCACCCAAAGAAAAGTCTCAAAAAATGCTTCCCAAACATACAGCCATCCATTCATAACAATCTAGCTGTAATCAGTATCCCCATTGGACCAGAAAGCCTAAAATTGAAAACCGTTGGGGGTCCATGAGGACTAGCTCAGAAAACATTGCTAGGTAACTGCCTAGTGCCCTTCATTGGATATTGAGCCTGGGACGCATCAGGCTGCAGTAAAGTTTATATTTCCTTGTTCCCACGAGGCAACATAATTATGTGAATGCCTATACACTGATCAGTCACAACATTAAAACCATCTGACTAATATCACGTTGGTCCCCTTTGTGCTGCCAAAACAGATGTTGCGACATGAACTCTACAAGAACTCTGAACATATGCTATGTTATTGGGCAACGAGAAATTAGCAGCAAATCCTTTAAAGGACCACTCTAGGCACCCAGACCACTTCAGCTTAATGAAGTGGTCTGGGTGCCAGGTCCAGCTAGGGTTAACCCATTTTTTCATAAACATAGCAGTTTCAGAGAAACTGCTATGTTTATGAATGGGTTAAGCCTTCCCCCATTCCTTCAGTGGCTGTCTCATTGACAGCCACTAGAGGCGCTTGCGTGCTTCTCACTGTGAGTTTCACAGTGAGAGCACGCCAGCGTCCATAGGAAAGCATTATGAATGCTTTCCTATGCGACCGGCTGAATGCGCGTGCAGCTCTTGCCGCGCGTGCGCATTCAGCCGACGGGGAGGAGAAGAGGAGGATCGGAGGAGGAGAGCTATGAAGCGGTGCAAGTGGTCTGCAACAATCTCTAGGTTGTTGGTACGTGTCTAAGTCATTTCCACATGAATGCCAGGACCCAAGGTTTGCCAGCAGAACATTGCCCAGAGCATAACTGTGCCTCTGCCAGCCTTCCTCTTCCCATAGTTCATCCTGCTGCCATCTTTTCCCCAGGTAAACAACGCACACCCATCTGACCATCCACATGATCTAAATGAAAATATGATTAATCTGACCTGGAAACCTTCTTCCTTTGATCCATGGTTCAGTTGACACTCATGTCCACATTGAAGGCGCTTACGGTGGTGGACAGAGGTCATCATGGCACTTTGACCGGTCTGCAGCTATATGGCCCCATACGCAAACTGCGTTGCACTGTGTGTTCTGACAACTTTCTATCATGGCCAGTTTTTCAGCAATCTGAGCTACAGTAGCTCTTCTGTGTGATCGAACCAACTAGCCTTCACTCACCGTTTGTACATCAATAAGCCTTGGGTGCCCATGACCTTGATGCTGGTTCACTGATTGCCCTTCCTTGCACCCCTTTTGTTAGGTACTATTTGATACCTACCGGGAACACCCCACAAGACTTGCCGTTTTGGAGATGCTCTGACCCAGTCGTCTAGCCTTCACTATTTGGTCCTTCTCAAAGTCACTCAGATCTTTTTGCTTGACCATTTTTCCTGCTTCCAATACATGAAATTCAAGAACTGACTGTTCTCTAGCTGCCTAATATATCCCTCCCCCCTGTTGACAGGTGCCATTGTAACAATATAATCAATGTTATTCACTTTACCTGTCAGTGGTTTTAATATTGTGACTGATCATTGTATGTTTCTGTGAAGGTCACCCCTTTTTAGAAAATCACTAGCTATAAGTGGATACATTGAATATCTGTAGCTGGAAACAGTCCATGTCAGTTATCATTAGAGCTGGGAAAATAATTAAATAAATGGAGAGGATCAAATATTTAGCGATGACTGTAAGTGATTATTATTATAAATTAATAATAGGACCAGGACGCAGGGCTTTCGCTATGAATCTAGCTGTCGGCTGTATCTAGTTTTCAATAAGTGTAAAATCAGCTGTGGACTCGGGTAAGTAGATACATGTCCTTCGTCAAGGTGTCTGTCCATTTTAATCTCCATATCCATTTCAATGTCAGAGTAAGCAGTATTTTAACATTCTCATCTTCTCTCCTTCATGAATATTCAGCAAAACACATGCCTTGTGGGATGGTGATTATGTTTTTAAAAATTGGAGGGTTGGTCGATCTCCTATAACTAGGGAGACCTGCTGAATTGTTCCCCCAAATCCAGTGAGCTGCATGTAGTGGGTGAACAATTGCCAGGCACCTAATGGATTCCTGTCTAATGGGGTGGACCTGCCTAATAAAAAAGCATATTATTTGTCTGCCCTGATATGCTATATGTGAAAAGTATATATATATATATATATCATACATAGGCTATTAGATAAAAATCTTTATGAAATACTCACATTGACTGTTTTGGAACTTCACTGATCCAACCAGGTCCAACGATATCATAAGACATAGGAGGGACTACTTTGTCTTATTATTTTTCCTGTGCTTGACAAAGAGCTAGTGACGGCTGCGGGGAAAAAAGGCTCTGTCTCTAGTAGCAGGATTCCTCCGTTGACCTCTGTATTGCAGTATACAACATTGACATCAGATCCTGGCAGCTGAAGTATTAGGAGCTGATGAGGATTGTCAGGAAGAAGATGGAAGCTGTGAGGGACAGGTTCTAGTAAATAAAAGACTTATTTCAATCAACCGGGGAAAAACACACAGAAAAAGTGATTTTATTACAATAACTGACCTTTCCCTGCACCCCTTGGCCACCGCACTGCCAGTGGGCAGTCACCGTCAGGGGTCTTCGCAAATTATGCGAAGACCCCAGACAGTGACAGAGCCACATTAAGGGAGCTTGTGGTAGAACATGGTAACATTTGCTACAGTATTTAAATATAAAACAATTGTAGCGTTAGAATAAATAGTCGCTAGCTGTTATGCCTGAAAATATGCCACCTCAGACCTACTCAACATAGTCTTAGTTCCAAGTTCAATTTGAGCTAATATTAGGTTTATTATAAAATTATGGGATGACAATGATAAAGTCTCTATGCTTTCAATTCAATTACTATTGCCTAAACGTTAAAATTCACTTTGAATTCTCTCTTTAGTGAAAAATCCTGAAAATTTCAGCATGTAATTTGTATTGGCGTTTATTTAAACTGAGAATTTTGGAGAAAATAGCCTAGGTAGAAGAATAGATTGTTGGGTGTTTCTTCAAACAGAGCTGTTTTGTCTGCCTGTCATGTTATTTTTGCTTTTTATCTTCCATTTTCACAGTTTTGTCTGTTTCAGCCTTTATCTGTCTAGATTGTAAGTGACATTGAGAAATGTGAGAATGAAGTGTTACTTTTTGCTTTTACTGTTAAAATAAAATTAAAAGGTTAGCCTTTTTCAGCAAAACTGATTTTGCTTGAGGTCGTGGTTATGGTACCAGGAGTGCCCTGGAACCCTTCCATTGTAAGGAATCTTTCACTGAACAGATTGACCTTGGGTCAGCTTGGTACTGCTCTCCTCCTGTACTACTAATGCTGAAGAACCAAAGTTCGTAAGTGGGAACTCCTATTAGCACATTGGCCGAGAGCGTCCGCTAATGAGCTAACAAAATGTCTGTAAGCTCGTTTGCTGAGAAACTCCTGTCTAGTTGTGGAGGGAAGAAGCAAAATCCGTTGGACCCCAGATAAGAAGCCAAATCATTTAAAAACGTTTTAATTCCTTACAATGGTGGGAAGGGCACCAGGGTACTCCTTGGAGTGTTTCTTTAAAGTAAAACTATAGTGCTAGAAGTACAAAATTGTATTCATAGCTGAAAAGAGACTTTCCTAACATTATAGCCCCCCCCCCCAATCTCTCGCGCACCCCCCTCCCGCTGTGCAGAACCCTTTTGTCACTTACCTGAATCCGCCTCCACTCCTCCTCCCCCGACGTCAGGGACCAATTGTGCATGTGTTGCAATAGCTCGAATTAGGACTACCCCATAGGAAAGCATTTAATTAATCCTGTCCTATGGGGTTTTAACTGATGCTGGATGTCCTCATACACATCATGAGGACGTCCAGCATCAGTTTGGTGGCCAAGAGTCGCCTAACGACCTAGAAGTCCCTTTAGTGACTGTCTAGTAGACAGCCACTAGAAGTGGAGTTAACCCTGGCAGGTAATTATTGCAGTTTATCAAAAATTGCAGTAATTACAATTGCAGGGTTAAACTGACAGGGGCACTGAACCTAGACTGCTTCAATGTGCCTTTAGTGTCCCTTTAAGGCTATATGGCAATCCAGAAGTCATGTTATGCAATTTTAAAAACTATGAGCCTTTATTTTTAAATCTTTCTATCTTGCCACGTGGATCTGCAGCTGTACAGCAGCTACTTCCCCATCCACTACCCATTTACCATCGAACTTTCGCATGGCTTTTAAGACAATCAAGAAATGCATCATATGATTTCTTCCTGTTCAGTTTTTTTTTTAGTCTACAAAGTTGTACAAAGTCTACAAAATTACATCTAATTTTCATTATTAGTGACTCAACAGTGCAAACCAAGGTAGCGGATATAATTGTGCCACTCTGATAAATGGTAAATAGAAATGTGCACAATAACTGTTGTAACGGAGCTCCCTGTACTCCGACCGAGTACCCTCCGTTGATGGATGCTCCTAGCGCTTCCTGAGGACTCCAAACACTGCAGCCGACACCACAACCACCGCAGACTCCACAACCGCCGTAGCTTAACTGGAGTCTCGCTGTCTTCCTTCCACCCTGGATCAGCTTCTGTCCTCCAGGACCGTGTGGGGAAGACCTCTCCTCCAGGAGAGCGTAACAGGAACAGCTCTTAAAAGAGCTAAGTGATTAAAAGCTCAGGGGAGTATGCAGAGCATAGCAATCCCCAGTGTGATATAGCAGTTCCCTCCAATAACGAGACAAGGCTACGTATTGAGGGTCAAGAAGATCTGATGTTTAATGGCACACACTCTGCTTTTATGAGATTCTGCCCATGCAAGGGAGACACCCACATAATTAGCAGTATAACCAATCGGAACAATATACATTCGGGGAAATTCCCATCCCTCAGATAATCACATAACATAATTAAAACAGAACAGTAAAAATACAGTTTTTATACATGTACTATAACTTCCAAACTACACATCCAATCTTCATAAAAATTACATATTTGGAATCAATCCATTAAGGGGAGCAACATATTAAAAAATGGCACAAATCAGACAAGGGGTTCAAAAGTTAGCAAAAGTGTCTTTTGGGGCCTGGCTGGCAGCATGGTTTTCTGGCCCAAACCGGTTTTACAGAGGCCTCTATCCTGGACAATGGGGAAAGTAATCCAATTATCCAGGGATAGAGGCAGACTCCATTAACCACATGTTAGCAAAAGACACAAAAAGACACAAAAATACATAACTCCTATTGAACTGAACAGAACCCCCACATTCAACCTATCCCCAGATGGCTTGGATCTGAGCGCTCAATATATCCAAACAGCGCTCAAATACAGTCAAATCGCCATACACACTAGGTCCATAGTCATGGGGCAGAAGGCTGGCAATTAGGCTTCTCCATAACACAGGGAAGCACAGCAATTTGTCAAATAAAATAACAGTTACAAATGGCAGTTTGTAACAACTGTCACCTGCACAAAATAGCATGTTTAAAGAACACATTCCTGTGTATTTTTAAAGGGTTATTCCAAGCACCATGACCACTTTATTGATTTAAAGTGGTCAAGCTGCCTGAAGTCTGCATGTGCAGCATTTTGCTTTGAAATGCACCTTAGAGATTAACCCCTTAAATCCACCTCTGGCTGCATTATCAGCCAGCCCAGAACAAAGTTCCGGGCTGGTCATTGTGAATTCTGTGCAAAATTGGTGCCTGACACCAGCACGCACAGTGTGTGCACGCTGTCTCCCTCCAGTCCTTTCTCTGACCTCCCTTACCTTCCGGCGAGGGAGAGTGGCATCAGCCTAGGAGGACCAGACTGAGGGAGAGCTTGGACTCAGCAGTGAAATGCAGGTGAGTTTTACTTCTTTAAAAAGAAAAACTAAACTTTGGGCCACCTCAGAAAGGGTTACTATAATTAAAAGCAGTTTTTTTTTTGGTTCAAATGTGGTCATTCTATATGCTAAAATAAATCTTTCCAAGTATATTTGTGCACTAAATCCCTTACAGCCCTGACTTGACTCACAGAGTTAGAATGGCAATGCATGCCCAAGTGCCCAAACATTAGGTCTTAACTTGTTCCACTTGCCAACGGTAGGCCAAGAACATATTTATTTTCTATCTCCCTGTAGTGCATTTTACACAGGGCACTGATAATGATCTCTGTGTTAGTGGCTGCCTTGGAATTACCAACTTTATCCCCCAGGATTCAACAATTCCCCTATGGAGGACTCTTCTGCTGGCGTAGTAGCATAACCAGAGGTATTATTGATTCCATTCACAGAATACCTTGACAGACGCCCCAGTTTGTTCTGTACCTAGCCACTATTTGATACAGCTACATCTCTAAGCCCTGTTCTTTCTATTAGAGGAAGCGGTGTTCGTGTCTGTAGAAGCATCCTGTGCGTTGCAGAACAGGAAGACGGGAGGGGGGGATCCTTGTTGTGAGCAATGAATCTTCCCTTGATATAGCAGGATTATAGCGAGTCAGGCCATGCATGTAAGGATGTTCTTTAAAAAAAAAAAAGAACGATTGCATCTGCCAGGATGTAGAGATTCTAATTTCTATGGTATGTAGGCATTTTAAGAACGCACGGCAGCAGTTTACCAGATTCCACCGCAGCCCACTTCCCCCGCCATTTCCGTATGTGTATATTGCAGAGAAAAACTGAAACAAAATTAGAATGGGTTTAACCCCTTGCAGAAAAATCACATTATTACAATATAAGATGCTTGGGATGTGTTTGGTGTTAAGTGGTTAAAACAGCATCTGCAACGATTCTCTGGCATCGCCCACATGTACGAGGAAATTAGTCTTATTGTACATGAATTTCACGTGAGAACACACTATCTCACTATTGCATGTAGTTCGTCTGTGGTTTATGCAACTAGGGCAGAAGTTGCTGGATGCAAATATTAAAGGGACACGAGCAATTCAAATATTGCACAATCACACAGACTAAATGAATGATCGAGTCGACTTGAGAAAATGTTTGTGACATTCTAGTTAACAAAGAATCTTGAGAATATATATAATTTTTTTAAGAATCGTAAACATTTTTAAATTGCAACACAAAAAATATTGAACATGATCTATAACCTGTGTTAACCTTTATTTCATGTGATGCTTCTTTTTCATTTAATTGTTCAATCCTGGCATGGACAGGACATGGCACTCATTGTGCTGGAGGAACAGAATTTTATTATTTTATTTTTTTTATTTTTTTTTAATTCTTTATTTTTGGTGCAAAAGATTTTACATGCAGGCCCGTGTAGCCACGACAGCAGACACAGGCAGGTTCATACAGACATGTTCGTGGTTTTTTACATTTGCACATTTTTGTTAAGAAATGAATATAACAGGCTAGGAAACATTGTATATATGAAATACCATGTTAAAGTATTTAGGCATATTAATAGTTAAACGTAAGATTGATAATCCGCTTTGTCTATTTGGAATGATTCTAATAGGCTAATACAAGTCGAGTGTTCGTTAAAGGTTAAACAGGCTTATTGGTTAACTGTAAAATTACAAGCTTTGTAACATTAGGAGACGTATTAAACATTCTGCGCTAGACATGCGTGTGATAAAGTTATTTATAAATGCTTGTCCGTTTGTCGCTTCATAAGAGTGATTAGGTCTAATGTAGGTTCTGACCTGGCTTGGGCTGCCCCCTTAATTTAGGCTAGGTGCTTATCAGGGCTCAGCTTAAGACCTAAGGTCGATTAGGCAGGTGAGTAGGCTGATGTTCACCTGTATTAACAGCTTATCTAAGAAGGGTTACATAGGTAAGGTAAACAGTTGCCACCGGGCAGGTTATGGCATATTAAGTGATTAACCGCACTAAGTGGCAGTAGTAGATGTGTCCATTTGGATGTGTTCACAACCAGGGTTTCTGTGAGTGGGGCTGTTAGCAGCAGGTCTAGCAGCTTTTGCCTTAATTGCCGTCTGTCACATGGCGCTGGGGTACCTGTCGCTTTAGAGTTGTGGATGGTGTTGAGCAGTGTCCTTTTCTCTGGCACCCAGATATTCCTCATAGAGCATCTCTGCGTCCTCTGGAGCTGTGGGTCCCTCTGTGGGTTTAAGTGTCTGCGGACCTCCTCGGCTGTGTACCCAGCTGGTGTGTGAGTGCGGGTAGGTTGTTTTATGGGCGCAGTACCCAGGTGTATCTAACGCTGTGATGAGCTGGTCGCTTGGGGTCTCGAGATCTCCAGTGGAGCACGCTCAGTGCAGGTAAGCGTAGGGTCCTCTGCTGGCGTGTTAGTATGCTTGTGGGGTGACTGTTCAGGAGAATGGCAGGTCTCCGCTGTCGCCCCGTCATGACTGCTGGTAAATGTCATGGGTGATCATTGCCCTGGCTGAGTGGTGTGGGAGCTTCCCTCAGCGGTTTGCCGAATAGGTGCCTTGCTGTCGGCCATTTTGTGGGGGCCGCGTGGTGGCTGTCGGCGGCTAGTTGCCCAGAAGCACTGCCGCGGTGGTGTCTGCCCGGTGGGGGCCGGGATAACCCCCGCCGGCCCAAAGGGGGGGGTAAGCGAGGCCGGGGGCCCCAGATTTGTCATGGGTCTCTGTATTTGCCGGGGATGGAAGGTGAGGCGGCGGCCGTCCACCCCGCTCCCTTCCCGGGTAGGCCTCAGTCTCCCCAGCCCCGGAGCGTCTCACCGGGACCCGGTCCACCTGATATCAGGTGCTCCAGCTACACCGGGACACTCCAGGGTCAGGTATCACGCACTTCCAGGGGGTTCCATGCTGATTTTGATGGGTTTTTTACCCATTATTCGTCGAGTTTCCCCGGAGCCATGTTGACTTGCAGCCTGCTGGCATGGCCGCCCGGCCCCGCCCCCAGAATTTTTTTTTTAATTATGAAATTGGGGAGAGGCAAGATGGAGGCAGGTACTTACAGGAAGGAGGTATATATTGAGATGTGGATTTCTACATTTAATTTTGTTTTACAGACTTCACAAACATATTTGTCAAATCCAGGGGAAGAATAAGCATTATCTATATATATATATATATATATATATATATATATATATATATATATATATATATTAAAAAACACAACTTAAGAAGTGTCAATTCCACTTTTAAACACCATAAAGGGAGTCACTCCCAAATATTTCCAATATTTAATTTCTCTGGTAAATAATCCATTATACGATACTTATATGGCTACTCCAGAAATTAAGGGATATTTTTAGTTACCTGGGATGGGAGGGCTACGGCTATGTGTCTGTGACTGTACAAAGACCACATTCTAAGTTGCATGATGCAATCAATGGTTATGTTTTTCATTTAAATCTCTGCATAGCTTGTACATATTCCATTAATGCTCTGTTTATTTTCCTTAATGAAATGTTAATATATATATTGGAAACAATGATCGCCACTTGTCAAATGTGCACACTTCTTAAAGGGTTACTCCAAGCCTTTTTTACTGTATATTTTCCTCTTTATAATGCCCTATTGGGAAAACAACCCTAAAATCAGTAATAAAACTAAGCTAAATCTTACCTAGAAACGGGTAAGGCTCCCGGCGCCGCTCTGCACTCCCCTCTTTGACGTCATGGCAGCCATCACGAGGTCCAATCTAAGGTTTCCTGTAGAAAAGCCTTTCTATTGCTTAATGTATTTGTTCTGGTGAGTATAATCATTCCCTTCAGGCTTTTTGATGTAAGCACGGTCTTTTCAGAGAAAACTGAGTGTTTACATTACAGCCTAGGGACAACCCCACTGGCCATTTCTCAGATGGCTACTAGAGGTGCTTTCTAGGGCAGTTCGGCACACTGTGCAGCACTGATATTCAGTGTCTCCACCCTCTGCATGGAGACACTGAACTTTCCTCATAGAGATGCATTGATTCAGTTTATCTCTATGAGGAGATGCTGATTGGCCAGGGCTGTGTTTGACTTGTGCTGGCTCTGCCCTGACCTGCCTCCTTGACATTCTCAGTGAATCCAATGCTTTCCTATGGGAAAGGATTGTGATTGGCTGAGATCACCACTTTTGATAATGTCAGCCACGGAGGCAGATCAGCGGCAGAGCCAGCAGCAGCAGACTCTAAATATAGTAAAATCTTAGCTATATTCCATAGACAAGGTGTGCAAGGGGGCTGGATGGTGTTTTTAACACTATAGGGTCAGAAATACATGTTTGTGTTACTGACCCTATAGTGTTCCTTTAACTGGCTCAAAGTGCATGCTTTAGAGAGAGGGGAGGGGGGAATAAATTAAATACAAACGTCTGTTTGCATGGTGAGCGCTGACGGATGGACATATTTTTGCACAAAATTGACATTTAGCAATCCAGAACAGATTTCATTTGACCTTCCAAAGTGCGGCAAGTGCAATTAGACTGACTGACAGAAACGCTTTACATACAGACTCCTATCAGTATGACCACTTCTAAAAGCAGATGTGGTCATGGTGGTTGGACTAATCCTTTGAGTTTGGGAGTCATTGGAAGTGGGACACCAGAGCAAAACCCAGGAGCGCACCACTGAGTTTCCAATGAGGACAGTCTTAAAATTGTTCCTTAAATTTAAATGGTACATAGAAGGACTTGATCTTTGATTATTCCCTCTAATCTTTACAGATCCAGCTGGGAGCTACCAGATCTTGAACAAGGTAAAATCCCAGCCATCAGCGACTCTGATGGAGTGAATTACCCCTGGTACGGCAACACCACCGAGACCTGCACTGTCACTGGGCCCACCAAATGTGATACTAAGTTCCTTGTAAGCATGAATGACAACTTCTACCCAAGCGTGACATGGGCTGTTCCTGTCAATGAGGGAAATGCACCCAGGCTAACAGGGATCTACAGAGACCAAAGTTTTACTACTTGGCTGGTGGCTATCAACATGGCCAGTGGTGAACATATTATTCTGCAAACCATCAAGTGGAGGATGAAATTGGAAATAACAGTAAACCCCAGCTTACCCCTGGGACAGCGAGCTAAACTAAAAGAACCTTTCACCCAAGAGCAGCCCCAAGTGCTTTCCAAGAATGAACCCATACCACCGAGTGCACTAGTAAAACCCAATGCCAATGATGCCCAGGTGCTGATGTGGAGGCCAAACAATAGACAGGCAGTTGTGGTCATAGCCCCGAGACATCAGAGGATCAAAGCAGACAAAACTCACTAGCTGCCACTTTGAAAGGGGAAAACCAAAAAAATGAACAGGTCATAGATTTTGCTTTATTCGGGTATCACTGTGTTACTTGATAAACATAGGAGGGATTCTCCTGCACAACTGAAGCCTCTCTCCTGCCAACTAGAACAATATTATTGCAAAGTGCTACTGGAAGGCCAAATAGGGAATGATGGTGACAGGGTCATTGAAACAATAGCTGCCAATGGCAGAACTGATGGGAATGTTAGAACTAAATCAGGTCGACCAGCTTTCAAAATTCCATCAAACATTAAACTTTCCAACTTGGCCAGTTGAGTCATTTGAGTGACCCGATCATCAGTGATGTATGATAACCCTGGATCCCTCCTGAATATAGATAATACAAGTTCAGGATTCCAAAGAAGCCCACTGAGTTTATTCACTATCAACAAGAGAAATTACAATTATTTTGGTCAAAATAGCCAAATCGATAAAAAAATATTTGTCTGCTATTTAGTTAGGCGTACAGATTACAATTCTCTTGCCAGTTCTAAACATTGCCCAGTTTATTTAATAACAGCTATAGATAAAATCCAAATTGGTCATGTTTGATACTGATTTTTTTGTAACATTCACAAAATGTATTTGTAATATTTTTAGGTGGTTATTAGTTTGTTCAGTGTACTTCGATGCTTTTATTCCACCTCAGAAATATCACATGCGACCTGATACAATCAGATGTGAAAAATGTTTACACATCTATGTATATTATTGTAAAACCTCTGTTTAGTTTTTTAGTTCTAGCTTCTAATTAAAAAAATTGACATTACAGGGTTACCTGTAGCACCATAGCCACTTCAGATTGCTAAAGTGGTTATGGTGCAAGCATTCTGTCTGTGCAGCTAGAAATGTTGCCAACTCAAAGATATTTTGCTTTTCTTACCCCAGTGAACTCCACCTCTGTCTCCTGTCAATCATTTTTTTCTGGTCTGGCTATGTCAAGTTTATCCATGTTTTGCATTTAGTGTCAGTGCACACTAATAACAAACACATAGATTCTCCTACTTTGTATATCCCGCAAGTGGCTTTCTTTACTGTGTGTGCACACATTTTTCTGTCCTCCCCAATCCTTCCTGCAGTATTTGTCTTCCCTTCTTAGCTTAGAAATCTCAATGTGTTGAGCCGCACAAGTGCAGTTGGTCCCAAGGGTATTCTCTATGAGAACTATTTGATTAGACACTGCCCCGTATGAATAAGGGCGTTTATGCTGGGCAGAGAAGTAGGATGATCAACATTAGCTGCAGAAGCCAGTTCTGCAGCTAATGTAAAGTAAGATTTTAGAACATAGAAAAGTTTTTTAGTAAATGTATATTTTTTTAATGCCATAACCATATGCATTAAAAAGTGAGTTTTTAGTAACCTAGAGTTTCCCTTTAAATGAACATAACATGGGAAGTGATTTAAACATGAAACCTTCATGTTGTTGGACATGTGTGTTGCACTTGCTTCTTGCTCAGAAGGGGACATTTATTCCGTAAAATAGTGTTCAGCCATGTAAATAAATCTTTACACATATGTTTATGAATGTTACAAAATGCTGTCTCTTAGAAGTAGTGTCATTTAAGTCAGAGGTGTTGAATTTCAGCCCTTTAATACCGCTAGATTTTCTGAGTGAGATTTATAAAAATGTCCCTATTAGAAAAGTGCTGCAGGGTTCTAAAGATGGATCACCATGGAGATCAACGGAATCATTATTTACAGTCAGTATGTCTCCATGGTGACTGATCTACTGTTGACATTTCGCCACACTTTTCTTTTAGTGACACTTATATAAACCTCCGTTCATGTTCTTTGGCTGAATAAATTCTAATTCAGAAATTTGGCAGAATTATAGAATATTAGACACAGAGAGCCAGGTGTGACACCTAAGCTTTCAATTAAATTTCATTAAAACAGCTGGCCATTCCCAATCTGGATATCCATTTCGATTGTTTAAGCTCAGGTAGTCCGCTTCCACCATGGGGGTGAGAAATGTTACAAAATGAGTTACTTGTTTGGAGTTCTTTTTCTTACAGGAAATGCATACTGTAGAGGACAAGTCTATTGGACACACTCTGGCACTCAGTGGGTTAAAATATACCTTTTCTTTATTTCATGAGGTCCAAGAGGCCAAGTTGCTATTGTCCTCCCTTACCTCCAGATGATGCTGTTGCTGTAAATTATGCTCATGTTCAAGCTTTGCCCTAAATGGGAATTATTGACACGGGACACAATACAATGTGAGTATCAGTGCAATAAGGCAGTGCAACTGTGTGCTATATGCAACTGGTTAGGTTACTTACAGACCTACCACTCAGGGCTAGCATAGCTGCAAGCTCGGCTTCTAAGAGGGTATAAATTCATTGCTGGAAAATGAAATATCTTGTACTCAAAGATGCTGCTTTATCAAGAGAGGTTAAATGGTACTGATGGGTACAGTAGTGGGAGTCAGGTTCGTTCAACATTTAAAGCAATGGGCAGCAAACAGTGAATTTATCTAGAAATCTGAGCTGTTTTCAGCACACATTTACCCAAGATAACCGGACTGCCTAGCTCTGTGACAACGATCCTTAGAACCCAAAATATTTCAGAACTGCAAATCCCATGTACTTTAGGTATATCTGACTTTCCAGTGTTAACTATCACTGTCCAAAGTACACAGATAAAACCCAGGGTTGCATTAACAAACCCCTAATTATTAGGCATCAAGATACACAAATTCTACCGCTGATTTCAGATAAAACTTGGTAAAACCTACTGGTCGTCTCTATAAACTGGGTCTCATATAGAACTGAAAATCTGGACCACGTACACAAAATAAATCATCTAACTGGAAAAAATTGTATAATCAATCGGAGTGGCTATTGCAAAAGTTTCTTGTTGAAAGACATAATCCAAGTGTTTTCCGAGTTAATAACGACAACACAGTACGGAGAGATCATGTAATTAAATACGTATAACTAGGTGCTAATACTCCAAAGCACTCCCTCAAGTGCCCAAACAAAGTCCAATATATCAAAAAAGAGATTGCACACTAGATTTGCTCCTAAGACATACACATAAATGCTTTATTAAACCACAATAAGTATAACAAACAAAAAGCAAAAGAAAAAATCAATTAAGCAAATAATTAAAGTGACAACCATAAGGCAAACAAATTAAACAATGGCAATTACCACAACTTACACAAGCCTATTCTGGCAGAAACATGAGCCCCTAAAACCCCCAACGGTTCAGCACTTTAGGCAGCTAGGAGGTGCCGAAACATTGGGGGTATTAGGGATAATAATAATAATAAAGCATTTATGTGTATCTCTTAGAAGCAAATCTAGTGTGCAACCTCTTTTTTGATACACTGGATTTTCCAAGTTAATACACATACAGTTAACATTGGAACCAGAAAGAATTTTCATTATAGAAGGCAGTTCATTGTGTTGTAAGGATTAGTAAGAAATGTTTGCGAAATTATGTATTTTAATCCCCCTGAAACATGCCCATTCATCTTCTTATCGTCAGATAGATTAACTGCAGAATATTTTTGAAGGAAAAATAATATCTAAATATATAAAATGTTAATGAGTAAAAGCCAAGTGAATTCTATGTGCTACTGTGCTGCTACAGATAAAAATAAACTGAAACTGGTACCTGTTCGATGATGTATAAGAAACTCACTGCAAGTTCTGCCCCGGATTACGAGTACACCTGCAGGAGTAAGTGTGATTTTATGTTAGTAGTGATGCCAAGTCCTCAGAGATTAGGGAACTTTGATTTACAAAGTTCAAACCAGCTAGCCTTGTCTTTCAACAGTCTGACTTATTGAATAAAATATTGTCTAGTTTAACAGTTACTTAGATCCATTAGTACTTAGTCAGAGGCTAGAAAATAAAACAGCTTCCATAGTACTGAGTCATAAGCAAAAATGGGGAAGTTAGAACCCTTAAAATGTATCAAGATGCAAAAACTGGGGTAATGAAACAGACCTCGTATTAATGAGTCAGAAGGGCAATTAAACAGAATTCTTAGTTTGTAGTCAAATCAAGAATAGGGGTAACACTGCAAACACCTTAATACCGAGTGAAGCTGAAATAGGGGGAATTCAACAGATTCCTTTATGCTGGACATGGGGCAGTTAAAGACACCCGTTGATCTTGGGTCAGAAGCTAAAATAGTAAAGTAAATAGACTCAGGAGCACTGATGATAAAGTACATGGTGATGTAATGTAAATTTGTTTAATCAATCCAAAAGGTGGTATTTAGTAGAAGGAGGTTTATGAAGACATTCTACATTGTTAAAGGTATACTATAGGCACCGAACAACTTTAGCTTAATGAAGCAGTTTTGGTGTATAGATACATTTAAATTTTGGGATATTTGTTATCCCTCATTAGACTCCACTCTCACCACTTACATTTAATTTTGATGTCATTTTGTAAAATGTAAATTTCACTCTCAAGTGCATTTTGTCCAAGTGAAATTAGGAAGCCATTTTCAAGCATGTCTCAAGAGGCGTTAAGGGGTTAAACACTTACCTTTCTCCAGCGCCGGGCTCCCTCGCCGATGGGGACTCTCCTCCCAACGTCATCCGCCGAATGCGCATGCACGGCAAGAGCCACGCACGCATTCATTCAGTCCATAGGAAAGTATTTCTCAATGTCTTCTCACTGATTTTCACAGTGAGAAGCGCAGAAGCACCTCTAGCGGCTGTCAATGAGACAGCCACTAGAGGCTGGATTAACCCTTATGTAAACATAGCAGTTTCTCTGAAACTGTTATGTTTACAGCTGCAGGGTTAACCCTAGATGGACCTGGCTCCCAGACCACTTCATTGAGCTGAAGTGGTCTGGGTGCCTATAGTGGTCCTTTAAAATTAAATCATAAACATGGTGCTGTGGGCTGTAACAGTAACTGCACGCAATCTTGGAAGTTTTGAGCTAATTAGTTACGTGTGTTCTACATATCGAACATTGTCAAGTTGTGTCTATTCTTTATTCTAATGCTCCGATTCTGAAACCAAAGTTTTGAAATAATGCAGTTCATGACGATTCAGTTTTGAAGTCAGAAATGTAAGTTTATGTTTAAAAATTGCTACAGAGTTAATCATATCAATACTAGTTTTGTTTTTAGCTTGCAACTCCAAATTTAGCTCATTTAACATAGTTGTAAAATCTCTCAAAAAAAGATAAATCTGGCAGCCATACTTCGTCATCCATCTGCGCATGTGCTACATATTTGGAGGCTAGGAACCATTTTATTTTCGGTAAGCGATCCCTTAATCTTTGTAGAAAATGTATTTTGCTTAGCCATCTCATATAAGTGTGCAACACGAGATCTGAGTGTTCTGCTTAATTTTTTTCAAGTTAAGAGCAAAAAAGAGGCATCTGAAGACTTCTCAGCCGTATTGATCAGACAGCCTTAAGGGAGTTATGACACCTTTCATATTCAGGAGTTTTGCCACATAATGCTTGTTGCTGATTTATGCAGTGATAATGTGTAAATTCAGGGAATTAATCATTTTGCTCTGATAGAGCAATAAGCCCATTTGTGGGAGCAGCCAGAGAAGGGGCTGCTCCATCAATGCTTATTGATACAAGGTTAGAAATTGTTAACTGTATATCCTTTGCAAAATGACTGAATTCTTGAAATATATCTCATTTTGCATTTCCCTTTTATGACATATCATGAAAGACCATTCTAACCAAGATTTCTAGTTCCAACAAATTGTCACCATAGGCGTGTGCAGCCTATTGCATAAGGGTGTGCACCCTAAATCACAGACACGCACACCGCGTGTGTGTGTGTGTGTGTATATATATATACACACACACACCCACATACACCGCTGTGTGTGTGGGTGCTGTGTGTGTGTGTGTGAGGGTGCTGTGTGTGTTTGTGAGGGTGCTGTGTGTGTGAGAGTGTTGTTAGTGTGTGTGTAAGGGTGCTGTATGTGGGAGCGTGCTGTTTGTGTGTATTTGCTTGGAGGGACTGTGGTGGTGAGGGGGATCGTTTAGGAAATAACCCCCCTCCCTTCTTATCTTTTTTAGGGAAGGGGGACCGTGCTGCTGCCATGCCTGGTGGTCCAGTGGTGAGTGAACTCTAGCCTGCGGGGCTAGAGTTCACTCTCGCCAGATATGAGCATTGCCGCAGCAACGCTCAGACCTCGCGAGAGGAACCAGGCGGAGCTGCTGGCTAGAGCTTCCCGGGTTCTCTCCTGCCTCCCTCCCTGCCTGTGGGCCGGTGAGGGAGATCTTTGATCTCCCCACCGGCCCATGGAGGCACATAGCGCGGGCCACAGGGATTAGGGTGTGCCCAGGCACACCCCGTGTGCACGCATATGGTCATTCATAGTTTTACGCAGTTTTTCTGGATTTTTAAATAGCAGAAACTATTTTATTTTTGTTCTCAAACACTTTTTTTTATTAAGAATGTCAAGTATTTCTGTTGTAAATGTATGCGTTGTATATGTTCAGTGGTGTGCAATATAGAAAATCAAATGAGGTTGGAATGATTGACTCAAAATAGCAATCCACATTCCAGGCAGTTTACATTATTTTACAGGACACAAGTCCTGAAACAATGTTTCTGCAGCTCATACAAAGGCTTCTTTGAATACTTCTTCATCTTGAAAGCATTTATTGTGCTTTGCAAGTATGGGACAAATCGGCATAGAGGCAATAGTTGCGGCCTCTGACTTCACATTGGGCTTTATAAAGACTGCTGAGCAGTAAGGCAGAACCTCAATTCTTTAACTTTCTTCTTCCACAGTTCCCTTTTAGATGGAAAACTGTTCTCATAATTCTCGTGCAGAGTTTTAAATTGCCTCTCCAGGTTTCATTTCTTCGGAAGAGCAACATTTATTTGGCAGATCAAACACACACATTCTGAATCGGGCAGTGTAAAACAATATTCTTCCTCTCATTTTTTGGTAAGGAGGTATATTTGGGTTTTCTTGGTAGTTGGTCCAGCACAAATTTTTCAAATAACTAAACCTTAAAAAAGTGGATGAATGATATCATAAAGCTACAAAGTTAAAAATATATATATATTTTACAAATACTAGTTTGATTAGTACGTGCTTGGTAAGATATGTTCCAGACTATAATTGTAGATGCCTGATTAACGTATAAATGTGTTCTGTTTAAATATTCTCCAGTATGCAGTTGTATAAAGGTCCATCTCTGTATATTTAGGGAGACAAGCATCATATTAATAAAACTTATAAAGGCAGATATTTACTATAGGTCCCCACATTCAAATACAGTCTTCCAGAAACACACACATACACGCACACATACACACAAAATAGTAAAATACTCCATAAGACTCCACAGGTAGATCCCAGATGGATCGATTAGTTCCGGTTTTGGATTAAAATTATTACAATTATTTATATAGCGCCAACATATTCCACAGCACTGTACAATAGGAAAACAAGGCAGACACTATATTCTAACAAAACATGATTGACAAATTGGAACAGTAGGTAAAGAGAGTCCTGCCCAAACGAGCTTACAATCTAAAAGAAATGTATATTTGGACAAAAACCACTCCAAACTGGTTTCTAGTTACAACACTATGTAACTAGACATGCCTCTGTTTCAGTATCACACTCCCATCTCGATGTCTGTTATTCTCTGTTATTCAACAATAGTTGGAAGGTGTTACTTTGTATAGGTTAGTCTCCTGTTCCTGTCTCCTTCTGCATTTACGTGTCTATAATTACAGCGATAAGCCTTCCCATTTTCCCTTTAAAATCAAAAGAAGAATCTATAGTTACTCTGGTGGCCATCCAAGTATAAATATCTTGCATGTTCCCTGGGTGCAAACAATTCAACTGCCCACCTCTTCTATAGCAGTGGTTCCCAAACATTTTAGGTTCAAGGCGCCGTTAATATTTCAATATTTTTCCAAGGCACCCAAAGTCTAAAATTTTCTAGGTTGTATATATGTACAGCGGTGCAGCATATGTTGGGCCCCTGTTCGGCAGAAATGCTTGCCGTTCAGGCGCAGATAGAGAACCTAATCTTGGGAGTGGCACTGGTAGATTATTTAAAGAAACAATCCAGGCACAATAACCACTACATTACTTTGTAGTGGTTATGGTGCCATAGTGCCTTCCCAGGGTAAGTAGTCAAACTGTTTAAGAACAGTTTGACAACTTACCTGGGGTCTGCCGGAATAGGGACTGTAGTGTGTGTAAGTGGTGCAGTGTGTGTGTGTGAGGGGATGTGGGGCAGTTTGTGAATGAGGTGTACAGTGTGTGTGGGGGTGCAGGTTGTGTGAGGGTAATTGTGTATGGGGGGGGCAGTGTGTGTATCAGAGGTAGTGTTTGTGTATGGGGGGAGTTATTGTGTGGTGTAGGAGTAGGTGGGAAAAATAATAAATATATACTTAATTTTTTTAAATTAAAATAAAAATAATATTAGGGGACATTTCCTGCAATCCCTGGTGGTCCCAGTGGGGAGAGTGAACTATACCAGCCTGGTAACCGCGGCAACGCTCCGAGCTCGCAAGAGGAGAACCCGGCGGAGCTGCATGTTAGAGCTCCCCCGGGTCCTCTCTCCCTCCCCTGCCGGCTGCCAGCATTACACTGCGAGCGGGCCGGAGAGGCAGATCTATGATCTCCCCTCCGGTCCAGCAGGGGAGAGTGAGGCACGGTTCATAGCACCGGGAAAATATCTTGCGGCGCCCCTGTGTGCCCATTGCGGAACCGCTGTTCTATAGCATACCCTGGGCTACGGCTGCGTACATGCACTGTTGGCAGCTTGGGATAATAGGTAATGATAGCATCTGCGCTATGGCTACTTTAGGCTTATTTAATTGCACAGAGATAGGAACAATAGAACTGCTTACGGGCATGACCAATATGTATTTAATAAACTCCTGCTCAACGTGAATTTATTGGATGAGCTCAAACCAGGCAGCAACCTGCTTTTCAGATTTAAACCAGTTTATTTTTGGCACTGGGCAGTTACCTGTGACTTGAATAACGTTATGTGTCTGTTTAAAGCATTGAATTAGCACAGAGAGCCAAAATGCCATACTTCAGGCCACAATGTGAGTTGGCAATACAGAATCAATAGCCATATGTTATTCCTTTCTATAGCCGTGGGTTTCTCTCTCATGGGTGCAAGAGACAGTGTGACTGCAATCCCCAACATGAGGCTCTTGTTACCAGACCATTATAATTAGAATTGCTATTCATAGGTCAATGTGCGCAGAGGTGTCAGGTCAATGTTACAATCAACAGTTTACAATGCCAGAAACAGGCTTATATATCCATATTCATTACCATTAGTAAAATGATAGCTGTATAAAATATAAATTAAAACATTTATATCTTGCTATTAATTAAAAAGGGCACTATGATCTGGAATTGGCCAACTATTTTAATGCATATCACAAATAATACATAGCTGTGGATAAAATGTTACAATTCGGGGACACAGGCGACTGCCTTGCTTAATAATCTAAGACCAGGAATATATGAGCTGATGTCCCTTTAAATGTAACTGTAGTGTCAGGTTCAAAGTGTCAGGTTCTGTGCTACTAGTCAAGCCTAATATTTACTTGTCAGCTCAAAATGTATGTGAACAAAATTTTGGTTGTATCTGCCAATCGTCTCTGCCCATTTTCCAGGATGGAGGGGGGCAAGGAAGAGAGCAGGCTGCACAGTGCACTGTGCAGGGGATAGGTCCACGCAGCAAAGGGTGACCCAATAAAGGGACTTGCCTGTCCCTAAAGAGTGTGACCAGGCTGTGACAGCTTTCCCCCTCAAGGCAAACCATGCATGTTGCATAGTCCTACTGCCCAGTCCCCACCTGCATTTTGAAATCTACCATCTCTGGGACCTATTTAGCAGGTACAGTTCCCCAAAATGCAGTACTATCCCAGCAAGCTCAGGACTGTTGGCACCCAGGGCCGTCTATAATATGATTAGGACCCTGGGCAATGCATTTTCTTGGGCCCCCTGGGCCCTGACCCTCCCGCCGCCTCACCCCCCAATTATGCCCAACCCGCAATCACACTGACAGACGTACTGGCACAGACACACACAGACAGACGTTAAAACATTCACAGATACATACTGACACACACAGTCACTGACACACAAATATATACACACACAGACATACATACATACATACATACACAGACACATACACTAACAGATATACTGACACACACACAAAGACATACACTGACAAATATACTGACACACACAGGCATACTGACAGATACATTGACACACACACACAGGCATACTGACAGACACACACACACAGGCATACTGACATACACACAGACAGACGTACTGGCAGATACAGACAGACATTAAAACATTCACAGATACATACTGACACATACACTGACATACAAATATATCCTGGCAGACATATTGAGACACACACACACACACACAGACATACACACACAGACACATACACTGACAGGCCTACTGACACACACATACACACAGACATACTTACATACACACAGACATACTGACACACACAGACATGCTGAAACACACACACAGACATACTGACATACACACAGACAGACGTACTGGCACATACACACGGACAGACATTAAAACATTCACAGATACATACTGACACACATACACTGACATACAAATATATCCTGGCAGACATATTGACACACACACACACTGACATACATACATACACACACAGACACATACACTAACAGACATATGACACACACACAGGCCTACTGACACACACATACACACACACACAGACATACTTACATACACACACAGAGATGCTGAAACAAACACACAGACATACTGACACACACAGTCAGACGTACTGGCACATACACACGGACAGACATTAAAACATTCACAGATACATTCTGACACACACATACACTGACACACAAATGTATCCTGGCAGACATACTGACACAAACACACACACATACATACATACAGACACAGACACATACACTGACAGACATACTGACACACACACAGACATACATACACACACAGACATGTTGACACACACACATACACACGGACAGACATTAAAACATTCACAGATACATACTGACACACATACACTGACATACAAATATATCCTGGCAGACATATTGACACACACACACACACACAGACATACATACATACACACACAGACACATACACTGACAGACATATGACACACACACAGGCCTACTGACACACACATACACACACACACAGACATACTTACATACACACACAGAGATGCTGAAACAAACACACAGACATACTGACACACACAGTCAGACGTACTGGCACATACACACAGACAGACATTAAAACATTCACAGATACATACTGACACACACATACACTGACACACAAATATATCCTGACAGATATACTGACACACACATACACACACACAGATACATACTTATATACACACACACAGACATGCTGACACACACACAGACATACTGACACAGACACACACACAGACCTACTGACTTACATTTAGCCACCCTCCAGGTTCTTACCTTTACCAGGAGGGTGGTTTCTTTAGTCCTCTGGAACTTCCCTCCTCCCTGCCTTCCTCCTCCCGCGCGCACATTATCTCCGATGGGAGGAAGTGATGTCACTTCCTCCCAGCCGGCTGCAGAACAGGAAGGGGCCCGGTCGCGCTGTTTAAGCGCCACAGCGCCCAACCGGGCCCCTGCTGACACATGCTCCCCAGGTGGCCCTTAGTGCATGAGACACCCGGGGAGCCTCCTCAGTGTGCAGGAGCCGCAATGCCCGGTCCATAGGGGCTGCGCAAATCGCGGGGCCCACGGAGCAGCTGCTCTGGGCCCCCCAGGAGCAACTGGGCCCGTTTGCCCCGCGTTAAAGACGGCCCTGTTGGCACCAATGGTTCTGATGCATAGCTTGTTCACCTCCTTAAGTTTTGGTATGGCTATGAATGCACAGATTTATGTAGGTTTAGGGATTTAAAGATGTATGAGAATTTTAGGGTGTATTTGTGTAGACTGTCAGTGACTGCAGGAGTATATTTGCATGGCGTGCATGTGTGAATGCAAGGTTGCATTTGTGTGGGATGTTTGCGTGTATCAATGTAGTGTTATATTTGTGAGGAGTTTCTTTGTCTGGCTGTAGGGATATTTTCACGTGGAGTCTATGTATGAATGCAGATCTGCTTGTGGTGTATGTGTGTGTGGGTGCGTTGGTGTATTTGTGTAGAGTGTCTCTGTGTGAATGTATATTTGTGTGGAGTGTCTATGTAGGGTATATTTGAGAGGAGTGTTTGAGTGGAGTGTTTCTATGTGAATGTAGATGTATATTTGTAAAGGCTGTCTATGTATGAATGCAGTGGTATATTCGTGTGGAGTATCTGGGTGTATGCCTGGGTATATTTGAGTCGAGTGTTTGTGTGTGAATGCGGGAGTGTATTTGCGAGGAGGGTGAGAATGCAGAAGTTTAAATGTACTGTACCTCATTTCCTTCCCATGATACCTATCCTAATCTAGGCCGCTTGCTCTCCCCTTCCATGTCCCATCTCTACATGCTCCTACCTTTACACATGCCCCTTCCTGTACTCATCCTTGACACTTTTCAAGTTTCCCTTTCCTCTTTTCATCCCTCCTTTCAAGCCCCCTTTTTTACTCAGCTCTCCCTATATCTGACGCCGACATTAAAATATATTTCACAAAACAATGAACTGAAGCAATAACTATAGAACAATTTGACAAATGAAATACAAAAATCAATGGAGGACGTCAAAAGGTTGTTAAAGAAAAACAAGTTGTTTGTTGGAAACAATACGTTTCGCACAAAAGGGATTTGTTTAGAAAAGGGGATAGGGGTAAATTGAAGGCCAAGAGGAAGAAGGGTCAGAGATATAGAAAAATAGAGCAAGATGGAGGAGATCTCAGCCACTGGAACGATGAGTTGCTAGTATCAAATTACAGATACTATAGTAAAAAATGGCAACAACTAGATGAGCAATCATCAAAAGGTTTCTGAAAAGGTTACTCCAAGAGCCATGACCACCTCAGTGATTTGAGGAAGTCATTGAATTGTTTGACTACTTACTCTGGGAGGGTGCCAGTGCACTCCAGGCACCATAACCAGTACAGCACACTGTAGTGGTTATGGTGCTTAGAGAGTTCCTTTAAAAGATGGATCTCAAACGCTAGTCCCTCAGATGTTTATGGCAACCAACTCCCAGAATTCCTTAAATGCAACAGATAAGAGAATCATGGGAGTTTCGTTCTGCAACACCTGGGGGGACTGGAGTTTGAGATGTCTGATTTAAAATATTATACTACAGTTGTTTTTATTATTATTATTAAGCATATAAAATTCACTTGGCTAGCATTATGCAGTTATATTTTTAAGCAATGGTTTGTTATAAAGATGAATGATGACTGGAATACATTTCCCCCATCAACACAAAAAAAATAAAAAAAATAATTTCGATTTCACCAGCTGAAAATAGCGTCAGCTGTGGGTCTGCTGCAACCAGATATCTTGATTTATTTTCTTTCTGAAGAACTGTTCTGGAGGGGGGAAGAACTGCACAGCCCAAAATATTCCAACATCTCAGTTTCTCGTTTGATGCATACATCAAACTTACTCAACGACAAAGATTTCAGTTTCACAAGAGCAATGCTCAATGTCCATGACACTAGAATTGGCCCGTAGAATACCAAAAACTTGTTGGAATGCCCGCTAGTGTGTCTAAATCCCTGTAAGATTTAAAACTTTTAATTTTGTGTGTGTTTGTTCTTTACTTTGTCGTTTAGTAAAAATTCCTTTGGTCAGTCCTCTACAATTCCCAGATTAATTGGGTAAACCCCTAATTTGTTCCTCTCTCCTAGCTGCCGATGGGTTAATGTCCCCGCCTGGCAGCTGAACACCATCAGGAAGGATGCCAGTTTGCTCCCGGACGGTTTTCCGTGTGATAATACTGCAAATTGGATGCTGCTACATTGTATTGTTTTTGGTTTAGCAGTGTGTCCTTGTCCTACAGCAAATCCCACAGTGATTAAACTCAATAATCCAAGGACATGCAACTAATAGACAGGTATTGAAGGACAATGGTTTGTTTTATCAGATCATACTAAATTCACTGGCATACGAAACCAAGAGGACTGCACTCACCTAAACATGTATACATTTTACGGGTGCTGCTGGGCAGGGGATGGGTCCAGTGCACTCATTCATTCACTAAACTGCAATGTTAAACCTCACAAAATGTAATCAGTTTTTGATTTTTTTGTTTTTTTAAAACAACGATATATGCAAAAATATTTGAGATTTAACCTTGCAATGCAGAGGGCCCCAGGAGGATGGATTTCCCAGGTTAATGGGTTAATCTCATAAACACAGGCATTGGGTTGCTAGAATAGGACCTGCCAAAAATGGGGTACATTGGCGTTGTGGCAGGCTTATGCAATGTATGATCATATACTGTAAAACTACTACAATTTGTGAGCAGTGATTGTCATCTCACTACATCTTGAATATGCTGTGCCATTTTGGGCACCTGTTCTAAAGAAGGATATTATGGCACTAGAAAAAGTGCAGAGTTGGGCTACAAAATTAATAAAAGGAATAGAACATATCAGCTATGAAGAAAGGTTAACAAATAAAAACCTCTTTAGTTTAGAAAAACGTCGCCTCAGAGGGGAATTTGATAACATTATATAAATATATCTGGGGCCAATACAAACCATTGTGTGGAAATATATTCACAAACAGGCTGGAAGAAAGAAGATTTAGTCTAAGTTGTTGTTTTTTTACCTTAAGAACAACAAGGATCTGGAATTATTTGCCTGAAGAAGTGGTTTTACCAGAATCCATACAGATGTTTAAACAGCATCTAGATGCATACTTGCAAAAACAGAATATTCAAGAATTTAATTTCTCAACTGTAGGGTAATAGCTTCCTGATCCAAGGATAAATCGGACTGCCATTCTGGGGTCAAGAGGGATTTATTCCTAGTTTGTTGCAAAATTGGAAGTTCTTTAAACTGCGTTTTTTGCCTTCTTTTGGATCAACAGCAAAAAACAAACGTGAGGAAAGCTAAACTTGATGGATACATGTCTCTGTCACTATGTAACTACATAGGTGACGATATGTGAGTGATATTGGTACAGAGTCAGGAGACCTCATTTGGATTAGTTCTATCAGTTCATTATAAAGATTAGTTAATCAATACTGATTGCAGTGTCTCTGTCGTTGACTAGGTCTGCCCAATTGTGTCTTACGGCCCACACTGGAAAAAATAACAAAGTGAATTTTTCCAATTTGGTTATTTATGTTTTACATTTACGATTACCCGGTGAATTATCTATGGTTATGGTTTATTGTAATAAATATCCCTGACAGGTTCCCAGGGAACTCTTCACAGGTGTGCTGGGGGCCTTCTCCGAGCTCTCCTCGATCTGGGTAGTCGCCTGTGATAGGGGGCTGGTACACAAGTTGCCAAAGTCGCTCCAGGTTCTCTCAGCCGGGCCACAGGATTCCCCTTATGACCTCTACGAGCCAAGTCAATCCCTGTCATGCAATCTTCCACCTTTGCCCAAAATTGATTAAATATAGCTTCCAATTTGGCCCTGGTGGGATTTTTGATGCTGTTTGGCTGGCTCCAAATCACATGTTGCGATTGTATTGGCGGAGGCCATTTTACATGCTTCCGCCGGGATAACCCCCACTGATCCAAAGCGGTGGGGGGGTGAAGAGGGAAAATGGGGGAATGCCCACCTATGCCTCTGATATACATGCTGTTGTGGGACAGAAAAGTGGTTGTCTCTCCCGCCTTCAGGGCTCTCCACCCGAGCTCCGGTATCTCGGAGACCCGGTACCAGAATCGTCGGGGTCAGGCTCCGATGTGTACAGGAGCAGGTGAGTACTCGTTAAGAGCCGCGTTAGAGCACAATAAGTCACTTACAGCACTGATTTATTGGAGGGAAATGAGGAGCTCACTCCATGCACGTCTGCTCAGCATGGCAGCCAGGCCCGCCCCCTAAAATGTACATTGTAGTATAAAGTGTGAAACATTCTTTGAATTCACACTTCAATAACAATCCTTGTGTAAAGGTTAAACCCACTAACACTGAAAAACGAAAATTCTATATATATTAATAGTAATCTCAAATGATTTAACCCCTTAAGGACACGTGACATGACATGATTCTCTTTTATTCCAGAAGTTTGGTCCTTGGGGTTAAAGGGATTCTATAGTGTAAGGAATACACAGTTGTATTTCTTACACTATAGAGCCCTCTGATACGCCCCTTCCATGCACCCCCTTCCCTATGCAACTAAAGGGTTACAAACAACTTTTTACACCGCTGATGCTTCTTGGTGCTGGGTCAGCGCTCTGCCTCTTCTGACATCATCTGACAAGGGGGAGCAATATACATGCACGAAGAACACTGCAAGGGCGTTAGGCCCTCCTTTAGCATTACTTCAGGGGATTTTACTGACGCTGGATGTCCTCATACATGGCAAAAGTTGCATAGAGGAAGTGCCTCTAGTCCCTGTGTGATTGACAGCCATTAGAGGCAGTCTTAGTCCTGCAATGTAAATATTGCAGTTTCTCAGAAATTGTAATGATTTACATTGCAGGCTAAAGTGGGACTGGGACACTGCACACAGACCACTTCATTGAGATTACGTGGTCTGGGTGACTAGTGTCCCTTTAACCCCTTAAGGACGCATGACATGAGGTTCTTAAGTTTAGTTTTTGCCTGTTTTCAGATACACCCCAAGGTGTAACTGTAACTTAGCAGAATATACTCATTTTTATGACACAGGAAAGATGAAAATTCAAGTTTACTGTGCCAGGAGCAAAACTTTTATTTCTAGCAAACCCCATTACAGGCCATCTGAAATAAAATAGATTTGTTTAGGCTGTGCTGGCAGTGTAAGGATTAATGGTGTACAAGGATAGGCTAAAACATAATCTTTCAATGGGTCACATCCCAAAGTAGACGGGGCTCATGAACACACAAGGGAGGTAATATCCTACATTAGCCCCAGGGATCAGATATTTAGTGGAAACTGAAAATCATGGCAATAGCGAGAGGTCAGGGGAATGAGATACATTCCGGCTAAATATAGGCTGGAGAAGGGAATAGGAACAACACCTGCAAAACAGCTCAATGTAACAAAATATTGAGGTTTAAACAGTGGTGCAACTAATGTAGACAGAGCCCCGGTGAAAGGAATTATTGGGTCCAACTCTAGCTCAAAGGTGGTCAAACGGTATCCTCAACTATCGTACAACTCCCATGATGCTTTGCCAGCTTGGGATCTACCATTTGCTCGTCCTTGCAGGGTTGGATTCGTGAGCAGTGCCTGTGTGTTTGAATATAAGCCTGTTTTACATGTATGGAGTGTGTGTGTGAATGTAGGGGTGTGTTTGTGTTGAGTGTTGGCATTTAAATGCAGGTTTGCATTTGTGTGTAGTGTAGTTGTTTGAATGCTGGGTTTTGCCATTTGGCTTGCAGGGGTGTATTTGTAGGTAATGTTGGCGTTTAATTGCAAGTATGTGTTTTTGTATGTTGTGTTGACATTTGAATGCTTGGATGTATGCACATATACATATATTGCCACGCACAGAGTGATAACTAACATAGATATGCACACAAACAAGATACTCTGATGCATAGATACACACGCACACTGATAAACACATATAGGTCAAAATTCTAATTTGTAGCCACCCTTCTCTTTCCGTATGTTTTGGGTGCAGGTGGTTGGCTTCCCTGGGATCTGGCTACAGCAGGTGTAGGCTGAGTGAGGCTTATGGGAGTTTGAGCCAGGCTCTCAGTCTACTCTCGTCATGCAGCCCTCTGTAAAAAAACAAGTGGGAGAAAGTGGCCTGCCCTGACTTCCTTCCAGAACCATGG